AGCAGAAGAGTCAAGTTTGGAACTCAGGTGGCCTGTCCCCTTAGCTCAAGACCTCACCACTCTGTTCGACTGTCCCCCCTCGCCCACCCCCTCCAGAAGGCTGGGAGATCTGCATCATCTAATGTGCAGTCACTAGGCACATGTAGCTTTCTCATTTAAATGAATTAAATTTAAACTTATCATACCACTTTGAAAAACAGCCTGGCAGTTCCTCAAAAGGCTACATATGGGGTTAGCACATGCCCCAGTGACCCCACTGTCAAGAACACATCCAGGGGAAAGGAAAACTGATGTCTACGCAAAGCACCTGCACACGCACCCACAGCAGCATCGTTCATAACAGCCCAGAAGTGGAAACAGCCCAAATGACCATCAACTGAGGAATGGATAAATAAAACCTGGTGCAGTCCTATAACTGCACGGCGAACGGCCATAAAAAGGGATAAAATACTGATGCATGCAATGATATACTGATCTATCCACATGGATGAATCTCAGAAACATTATGCTAAGTGCAAGAAGCCAGTCACAAGGGACCACAGAAGTGTATGATTCCACTTATATGGAATGTCCAAAACAGGCAAATCCACAGACAGAAAGTAGGTTAGAAGTTGTCAGGGACTGGGGGGGGGGGGGGGGGGTGCACCAAGGAGGGACGGCTAATGGCTATGGGGTTTCTTTATAGGATGAATGAAAATGTTCTAAAATTAGACAGTGGTGATGGGCAACAACTCTGTGACTTACTAAAAAGGCATTTTATGCACACTTTAAATGGGTGAATCTTTTGGCATGTTAATTATATCTCGAGAAAATTGATATAAAATCTAAATGTCATTAAAAATTCAGTGCCTCAGTTATCCTAGCTACATTTGCCACATGTGGCTAAGTGGCCACCAAAACGAACGGCGCAGACACAGACACTTCAGCATCACAGCAAGTTCTGCTGGACAGCACTGCCTCGCCGAGTGGGTAGAAGGCCTCCTTCACCAACCAACCACAGCCCACCAACCAACCACAGCCCACCTTCCAGGTCTTACCACCTGCACATTGAAATGGGCTTTCCCCCTTCCTGGTCCACAGATGCCATACTTGTCCTTCAGAGCCCATCCAAATGCCTCTTCCTTCATGAAACTTTCCCTAAATCCCCCCACCCCCGGCTCTAGCAGAATTGGTTGTTCACACTTCTATTACAGCACTGATTCCTCTGGTTACAAATCACTGTGTGTTATATGTCTTCCAAACAAGACTACCAGCTCCTTGAGGACAGGGATTCCCAATGTCTAGCTATAATAACAGCCTGCTTCAAAGAGGGAACATTTCAGCAAGTGTCTGCTGAATTCTACTGAAAGGACCTGCAGAAACTCAAGGCACTGATTTTCAACAACGGCGCATTCTGGTGTGTAAAACAGACTAAGACAATGAGGGAAAGCAAATTTGAACATGGAGGTCTCCTATCCCACTATTCTACAAGGTGTGTTGGTGATTGCACTGAAATGCCATTTTGAAGAAAGAAGGGCTTCTGGACTGAAATCTGGGGCAATGGAAGTGACTAAAGGGGGGGGGGGGGGGAAGGGTATACTACTGAGGGGTGGGAAAGAACAGTGGGAACCAGACCCCCACCCCATCCCACGCACGGCGGAAGAGCAATGTCCGCATCTGTAGAGATTTCTGCTGACTCACTTTATGGAAAAGGACTTTTTTTTTTAACTAAATCTTTATTTTAAATAATACAGTCAGATTTTTCTGGTAAAGTTTAACCAAAAATAGAAAAAAGAAAACAACTCTATGTATCACAATCATAATTTAACTGGAAGAGACAAATACCAAGGCCTGCTATTTGGAGATCTTCCTGCTTTTTTTGTTCTTTATAGATTCAAGGGCTCATATCTGAGTTGCAGTGACCTGGAGGAGAGTCAAGTCTAAGTTCCTCACACAGAAGTGAGCTATGTTAATGAACTTCCCTGAGCCAGGATGGCAAGAAATGGCTGTGCAAATGCAGAGCTAGTAAGATGGAAAGCAAACCACCAATACGTATGTCTGATATTAAATGCATTTGAAAAAAAAAAAGGCTGTACTTCACAGAGCCACTTTAAGGGGAAAAATGCAGTGAGGCACCCACACCATTTCCAACACAGACTGAGTACAGAGAGTCCTCCTCAGTCCAGAGTCAGCTGGAAGCCAGTTGTTGAAATAAGGACAGTGAGTACCTGAAGCAGGTCTTATGCCAAAATAGTCTCTGAATTTTTTTCTTTACTGGTTTCTAGAAGCCAAAAAAAATCAACAAAAAATCAAACCCCAAACCAAATGGACTAAATTGTAGTGGATTCAGAGTTAATAATTATATAATAGCTTCCATTCCAAAGGTTAAAATTCAAAACACAAATTTCACTATAGATATACACAACAGTGTTCTCCACAGAAAGAGACAAGGGTACTGGGTAGGGGTGGGCATGTGGGGGGAGGGGTCAGGAAGAGGGAGACTACTGGATAGAACCTTCCAAAGAACCCTCCCTTCTCCACAGGAACTGGAACCACAATAGCTGCTGGTCAGCGGGAGCATCCATCCAAAGGGAACAAAGTACAAAAGCCACCCTGTCCCCAAAATAAGTATTGGAAGTGCCAGAAAAATGATAAGAGAATGACCTGTGCTCGACAAACTGCAATTAGGGCATGACATTGAAGATCCCCTCCCATATCTTCTAGCCACCTCCCGGCTTACATAACATGGGAAGGAACCTCCAGCCTTGCCAGCCTTCCTCCCCCTAAAGAAATGGGTGAGGATTTAAAACAGAACAAAAAGGAATGGCTGTTTCCCACCATCAGCCAGGACAACCACTGCTCTCCATCAGGGGAAGCAGTCCACAGGCCCAGCCACCCACCTCCAAAGGCCCTAAGGTCCCTATATCAACCCCCTACCAATGTTATTGACTGGTCTTTGGGAATGGCCTTAGAGATACAAAAACAGACAGGTGCAAAGGAAAAAGCTACAGTTTGTTCTGTATTTTGCTTTGTCAGCGTTTATACTTAATTTTACCAGTCCAAAGGGTTATAACTTTTCTAACAGACAAAAAATTTCATTTCTCTCTCCTACTTCAATTTTAACTGGGAAAATAAAGAACCCCAACACCTAAAACGGAAGGGTTCAGACCTAAAAAGGGAATATACTGGCCCAGAAAATGAGCTCTATTCCTTTCACATGTTATTTCCAACATACAGAAATATATTCTGGGGGGGGGGACACAGGACACTTCAAGAGATAAATGAATAAACAAATTGTGGTACGGCCATACAATGGAGAATTAGTCAGCCCTAAAAAAGAATAAAGTACTGGTACATGCTACGACGAAAAAGAACCTCAAAAATATTATTCTAAAGGGAAAGGAGCCAGACACAAAAGGCCATACTGTAGGATTCCGTTTATGTGCAATATTCTGAATAGGTAAATCCATAGAGGCAGAAAGCAGATTGGAGGTTGCCAGGGGCTGGGGGCAGGGGGAGGAGAGCCGAACTGCTTAGTGGGTGGGGGGTTCCAATGGGGGAGATAAAAATGTTTTGAAACTAGATAAGAGTTGGTGGTTGCCCAACACTGTGAATATACCAAATACCACTGAATTTTTTCACTTTATAATGGTTAAATGGCTTGAAATAGTTTATGTGAATTTCATTTCATTAAAAAATTTAAAATAAAGGATAACAATGGGCACAACAAAGATGCATACCTATGTGAAAGGGGAAAGGTAAGTGTTTTTGCTGGGACTCTGCTTCTACTCTTGATCGCAAGACAAAGTTCAGGTGCTAAGCTGTACAGACTTTGAAAAGACAGGGAAGGGAACAGAAAGTGAAGAAAATAGAATGGTAAAGCCCTGCCAAAGGGAAGGGAAGGAGGAGGGATCACCCCTGGTGCACCCCACCCAACTTGGCACCAAGAGCAACGCTCCCATTAAGGTTTCGAAATGCCCGCCTGAGCTGGGATCAACACAGCCGGCTTCTCTGCCTGGATAAAAAGCAAGCCACCAAGCAAGAAAACCTGGGGTGCTCCATTTGCAGCACCACCATTTGCTCAATAGCCGTAGGCTGGCCCAGATCAGCATCAGGGACTGGCTCTCCCAGACCAGCGAGCCTAACAGTGAGAGTTTCTAAGAGCTCAAGTGTGCCCTCCTCCTGAGGGGTCCCAAGAGTCCTGCCTCCCACCACTTAACTCCAACACCATTAAAAATGGTGCCCTCAGAACTCGCCCTAGTCCGGCTTGAAATAAATATCCTCGCAGCCCCTCCTCCCTCTCAGACTAGCTCAGTAGCCACGCACCCCGACCCGCACAGACCTACACGCGGCATCGCTGCCTAGCAGACTTGCTTCACGGGGGTACACGAATGCACCCCACCTGCTCCAGCTTGGCACCGCTATCCAGTCACAGTCACCCCAGCCCACCTGAACTAACTACCGTCTCAAAGGCCCCGCACTCGCTTGGCACCAATCCTCTGCCGCCTTCCTGACCCCGAAACAGGTGTCCCTCAGCTGAACACCGGCGCCCCCTTAGATTTTGTCCACCCCACGCATGGGTGTCCCTCTCGCGACTCCTCAACTCTTGGCAACAACACTCCTTCAGCCTCCTCCTGCTACCATCGAGGTCGTCTCCAGCTCCCTCCAACCAGGCCTCGACGACCCCCAGGCGCCCAGCCTAGCCCGGACGCCCCTCCCCCTTACCTGCGGGGGCTCAGCCCTGGCTGACAGGGGGCTGGGCAGCGCCTGGAGGAGCAGGAGCGCCATGCCACCCAGGAGCCTTCTCCTCTCCATCCCCTCCCTGCTCCTGCTCCTCCGCCTCGGCGCCGCCGCCACCCTCCTCCTCCACCTCCTCCTCCCTCTCCTCCTCTTTCCTCTTCTTCCTTCTTCCCTTCTTTTCCTGTTTCACTCTCCACCCCCCCCCTCCCGCTTCCGGCTCTGCTCCACCCCATACAAAACACCCTCCCATACATTGGGGAGGTCCTCCAGTTCCAGCGCTGCACTAGCTTCTACACTTCATCCATTGATCAAAATAGCTGTCAATCGAATCAAAGTTCCTCCCCTCGAAGACGCAAAACCAGAGGATCCAGCCAATGAAAAGTAGGAGGAAGCTGGGCCATCTTGAGTGCCGCAAAGCTGTGTAGAACTATAGCCAAGTCCGACCAGGGGGCGGGGCCACCTAGAGTGTGTAGAATTGAAAAGTCGAACTCGGATATAGCCATCTTGAGTGTGGCGGAAGCGCTAGATTCCCACGGTTTAGCAAAGAAAGAGAAAGAGTGTGGTGATTCTAAATGGTGCTAGCAAATTTTTTTGTTAGTTTTGCTTTTTTTAGAAGGTAACTGGGCGCCCCTAACGAACAAAACAATTGCAATCTAAAAATCTTTCGATGCCTTTTGTTTTGAAGCACAGCTCCCTCTCCTGGTCTCAAACTGCCCAAACAGTAGCTTAGGTCAACTTGAATTCTCTATGAGATAGTATCTTTACCTGAGGCACAGTGCTTTGTCACCCCAAGTTCCAAGGACAAAATTCTATTGACTCTACCTCAAAAATAGCTCTAAAATCCACCCTCATCGCTTCGATCCATGTTCTCATCATCTGACTAAATACAAATGGCCTCCTTTCACACACCACAGCAGGGATGCTCTACCACATGCGCGCGCCGTTTATTGTTTCATGGTTTTCCCTCTTAAAATGCTTCAGCTACCTACGGGATATATAGCCCAAACCTCTCCGTACCGTCCTCTCTATGTCCTGGTTCCTGCGTACTTCTCTTTGTCTCACCTGTCACCCGCACAGTCTGCTCACACTGAAATGAACACTTAAGAGATCTTCAAAGTGCTGTGCTGTATAGTACAATACACTTAACTTTATTTACACTTAAACATATAACTAATTCCCTATTTACAAACTCCTAGTTCCCTCCCCCTTGTTTCTTTCTCTAGAGATTCTCGTACAGTTTCCCCCACAGTGTATCTAATCTGTATCTGCCTGGCCGATCCCTCCTACTAAATTTGCAGCTTTTTGTACAGCACAACAAGTCTTATTCATTTTTTAAGAAATCCTGAAAACTGGGCTACTGGACAGGACAAACACTAAACCTTGCACAGCCTGGATTAGCACTTCCCACACCAAGATATTTTAGTAACTCTAACCAACTTTATTTTCATATCCCCCAGGAGCCAACTAAAAGAAAGCAGAGGCCTTACAAAATGCAGTTACGATGCAGTTCAAAAGAACAATTTTAAAAGTGCTTCTGAACTGCAGCCACTATATACGCCAAACTTTTTCCAAAAAGTAATTGTCTACGAAGAGAGGAGGAACGCCAGGAGGCTTTAGGAACTAAGAACGAAAGGGAAAAGTTGTTGATTTTTGAAAGAACATCAGTGTGAAACTGCCTCTGAGATCCGGTAAGATTTTTTTCCTATTTGCCTTTGGAAATGAGCAAAGCTGAAGCCAAATCTCCTCTCCTAAAAAAACTAGCTCACAGACACAGACCTTTCTGTTCAGACATCAGCTAAAATCCAATTGCAATGTTATAGCATGGATGAACTTTGAAAACAGTATGCTAAGTGAAAGAAGCCAGATACAGGCCACATACTATGTGGTTCTATTTACATGAAATGTCCAGAGTAAGCAAAACTACAGACAGAAAGTAGATTGGGGGTTGTGAGGGGCTGGGGCTGGGGGAAGAGGGGAGAGACTGCTAATGCACGGTTTCTTTTGGGGGTGATGGAAATGTTCTGGGATTACTGGTGATGGGTGCACAGCTTCATTGAATACACTACAGAGCATTAAATTGTGCACTTTAACAGGATGGGTTTACCGTACATGAATAATATCTTAATTTTAAAAAATGGGAGACGGGGCTTAGACTGCAGACAGTACTTTGACCACAGGTAGGAGGCCCTTTTTCATTAAAGCAGTTGTCCTTCAAGTGTGGTATGTAGGGAGACCACCAAAGTGTCCTTCGAGGGATGCTTGGATAAAAAAGGTGTGGTACATATATACAATGGAATACTATTCAGCCATAAGAAGAGGTGAAATTATTGCCCTTTTGGTCAACATAGATGGGTCTTGAGAATATCATGCTAAGTGAAATAAATCAGTCGGAAAAAGTTAAGAACCATAGGATTCACTCATATGTGGGATATAAAGTTAAAACTTCATGGACTCAGAGAGCAATGTGGTGGTTGCCGGAGAGAGCTGGGGCGGGGGAGGCCTAATATATGGAGATGAAGATGGTGTGACTTTAAGCAGTCGGCACAGTGCATATACGGATTTTTGTGCCATAGAAGTGTACACTTTAAACATGTATTATCCTATTAACCAGTGCCAGCCCAATAAATTTAATTAAAAGGAAAAAGTGTAGCACATAGAATCATTATCATTGGAAAATTACCAGAAATACAAAACCTCAGGCTCTGCCCCAGGCCTACATAACCAGGAATTCTGGGGAAGGGGCCTACAGTCTGTTTTAACTAGCTCTCCAGGTGGTCATGATGCATGTTTTTTTAGTTATTACTCCCGAGGAGGGGAAAATTTTCACATAAATGGCCAGAGAGTAAATTATTTTAGGTTTTGATGCTACATGCTCGTGAATTGGGTCTTGGTTACATAATGTTTTTTTTTCCTTTTTACAACCCTTTAAAAATGTAAAAAACATTCTTGCCCTGGACATGTGGCTCAGTTGGTTGGAGTGTCATCCTATATAGGTGTGCAACCAGAAGGTTGCAGGTTTGATCCCTAGTAGAGTCACGTACCTAGTCTGAGGGTTCAGTCCCCAGCCAGGGTCCCCACAGGAGGCAACCAATTGATGTTTCTCTCTCTCCCTTCTTTTCTCTTATCTCTAAAAGCCATAAAAAACATATCTGTGGGTGAGAAATTTTAAAAATGTAAAAATCATTCTTAGTTCCAAGGCAAGTAAAAACAGGTAGTGGGCCGACTTGGGCCCTTGAGCGATGGTCTGCCAACCCCTGCTCTGGGGAAACACGGCTTCCATCTGGGAGACCCCGGGGGTGTCCAGCAAAGACAGGTAGACTTCCCCTCCACCTGTAATGAGGGAAAGGAGCAAGGGCCTTGGCCTTAGCCTTGTAGGTTCCCCTTAAAGTTGACGCCCTCCTCCCTGCCAAGGCCCAAGTCAGTCCAGATCAGCTTTCCGTTCAGGCATTATTATTAACTCAGTCTGCAAAGTTTATTGTACTCTTTCAAGAAATTTATTCGATTCACAGTGGTATCCTTTGAATAGTCAGCAAAGTCTACCAGACATAATTCATATAGGCATCGACCCCAGGATGCCACAACTGTCCCCTGGGGAGCTTGAGAAATCACCTCCAGCAGCCAAGTCAGGAAGGGCAAGTGGCTGGGCTTCGCTGTGTCCTTTAAGGCTCTTTGGTCTTGGCTGATTTTCTCTTACAGGCATCCAAATAAAACTTCCCATTGCTGGTCAGTACACACCAGTCTTTCTTTGGTGTTTAACCTCATGGGCCGAGGAAGGGAGGCAGCCAGGAAATTATACCCATTACAATGTGTGGTTAATGCTTACATACATCCCTTTTACTCACAGTTAGGGGGATTATCTTTTAAACACAGAAGTAAAATCAGACATGATTTTAGAGCAGGAAAACAAAGTCGGCGCCAACAGACAGGGCTCAAAGCACCACCGAACTCCACTGCCTCACACGATGTCCTTTTTCAGCACTGAGAACTCCCAGGTGCCTGATAAACTCAAGGTTAGCAGCACCCCCAGAGGCCTTTCTGATTGGGGCAATGAGAATGGGGAAGAGTGGAGATGAGCCCCAAGGTGACGCAGGCCAGCCCCCCACTTCCTGCACAGCTGGAACTGCAGGGGCAGAGGGTCCACAGCTTCAGAGAAGGCGACGTGGGAGAGGGAGCGGGAGCTTCTCTTTGTCCCTGGGGCTCCGCCCCAGTCCTGGCTGGAAGCAGAATCCCAAACTTTTCCATTCAGTTTGTTGAGTGTCTCCCTCAGGTCCCAGCAACTTCTCCCTGAGGCGGACTCAGTTCCTGGTCTCCAGGGGATGGGAGTTATGGGGGGGGGGGGGGGGCAGGTAGAGATTTGGTCTTTCTCCCCTTATTCACTTTTATCCCCTGGGGCCCAATAAACCACATGTCTGAGTAGAAAGAAGCATGAGGGTCCTGGTGGCTAAGGAGGAGCTGGTGAATATGGGTGGAGACTGGTCCTTGATGGAGTGGGCATCTAGAGGCCCTTATTGAAGTAGACAGAAGGCATGAGTTCTCCATAGTTGGCCTTCATGGCTTCTCGGAGCTCGGGTTCCAGGTAGGAGGCTGGCAATTCACTGAGAAGAGAGAAGGGGTCATGAGTATGCCACCAGACAGCTGCAAATGACTCTTCAAATCCAACTCAAATGCCACCTCTAAGAAGCCCTTCCCGATTTTTCCATCAGAATTAGAAACAGCCTCTGTACACAAGACGCTGCTTTTACCTCTACTCAGGCCTGACTTCCTTCTCCCAGGCGCTCAACTTCCATCTTCTCCATAAGATTACAAGCACAGTGCTCAGAACACAGGAGATGCCTAACAGCTGACTACTGAGCTAAGAGTGAGGAAGGGGAGATTGGCATCTTCTCGGTATATGTTCAAGCTACCGCTGGTCTCCTAGAGTTAGTTCCTGCTCCCCTTCCATGACATGGAAGGGAACCGAAGAGGTTCAAGTCATCCACCCCCTGGCAAACGTGAGCCAGAAGTACCTGTCCCCGTGTTCAGGGGAGATTTCTGTCATAACCCAACCAGCAGGACACAGGCTCTTGTTGTTCCCCCTCCCTCTCTCTCCAAGGCAGCCCTTGGCCCTCTGGGAGGAGGCAATTCCTCCCCCTGGAGGTGTGTCCTGGTTTACCACGCATGCAGGGTTAAGAGGCCCGGAGTTTAGGCTGATAGGTACTTGTCCCTGGACAAACACTGCCCTTCCTCCCCTCCTCTCCTTTGGGACAGCAAGCAGGTCAGGGAGAGCAGGGACGGGACATTTGGTAAGACAAAGTAAGGAACGATACCATTTCTGTGGGAAGAGCCCGCATGCCACTGGCACCATGAAGACGAGGCTGGAAAAAAGGAGAAACCGAAGTGTTAGGGGCGTTTCCCCGCGGGCCCTCGCGCAGGCCCTTCCTGAGTCCCCTGAAGGATCGGGGAGGTGCCCACCCCGCTTGGCCTGCTCTCCCAGCTGGCCCCACGAAGCCGCCTCTTCCAACCCTTCTCCTGGCCTCTCGGTGCCAGGGTACTCATTCTAGCTTGGAACCAAATCAACCCACGTCCATTCCCCTCCTTATCCCCAAGGACCCCTGTTGTTCAAGCAATGAAGTCACCTGGACAGGCCAGCAGCAGCCCCAGAGACCACATTAACCGCCGACGGTGGAGAAAACAGTGAGGGGTGTGAACCCGAAGGCCCTACTCCTCTAGTCACCGAACCTCTGGCCAGTTAGAGAAGGGTAAAGGGGGGGTGGGGGGCTCCTCAGACTTCAGTGTGCACACAAATAACTCCAGGGACTAGTCAAAATGCAATGCTGATTCAGCGGGTCTGGGAAAGGGCTTGACAGTCCTGATTTCTAACAAGTTTTCAGCTGATGCAGGTCCAGAACCACATCTCACAGGATTTGGGAGTCCGACCTGGGTTCCTATCACAGCTGACACTTGAAGTTGCAGGAGCTGGGGTGCATGACTCCCTCTGAGCCCGCAGAGAAGGGACCAAAGTGCTGGCCTCACCGAGTTCCTTTGAGGATTCAGTGAGACAGCCTGTGCACTGCGCCCAGCCTGTATCAGGAACTGCCCACTGGGCGATCACTCAATTAGCAGAAGTAGAGCACGTCTGCCAAGGACCCATCTCAGCTCCAGCAACTATGAGCTATATACCCTTGGGCCGGTGCCTTCATCTCTCCAAGGCTTGGGTTCCTTTTTGTGAAAGATTTTATTTGCATGTGTGTGTGTATATGTATATACATACATATACACCATATATATTCCTGCATGTCCCTAAAGGAGAGAAGGGGTTCTGCTTGCTCTCTGCAGACCAGTACGAGTGAAATTATAGATGTGAAGCATGAGCACCACGGGCACATTCAGTAAATGTGAGCTGCTGTTGCCACCGTTGGCTCTGAGCCCCGTAAGGCATGATTCGTGGTGCGACGTGTCCCGTCAATGGCAGACACCTAAGAATGCTGCCACGACGCGTGGCTGGGACACCTGGCAGCCCCAGGCTACCTCAGCATTTTGTATCTTTGTTTATTTTAGCTACTTATTTATTTACCTTTGAGATATAATTGACATATGACAATGGACAAGTTTAAGATGCACAACCTGTTGATTTGATACATTTATATATTGCAATGTGATTTCTTTAGGGTCAGCTAACACCTCTATCATGTCACACAATTATCACTTCTTTTTCCTTAGGGTTGTCCGGAGTCCCTTCTCCTGACTGAAGGTCCGAGGGAAGACCCTGGGACAGGAGGGTGCCCGAGCACCCCACTTTCCACACGGATGCCAGCATGGAGCCTGGCTAGCCTGGCTCCCTCCAAAAAAGGTGAGGCGAGAGCGCTCCAGATGGACCACAGGTGTTCCGAGCTCGGGCACGTTGGAAGCCAGGTGAAGGAGCACATGTTCTGCAGCCCGGTGACACAAGAAGACAGACCTCGGGTACCCGGCCACCACAGAACCCAGACCGAGAAAACACATTCATTACTCACAAGCACCCACACAGCATAACCTGCAATGGCGCGTGCAGGACCTTGACTTTCTGCACAAAAACACAAACAAATGAAAGAAAAACCCACATGGGACTTAGCTACCTTACGGTGAACCCCGTGCCTGCCCCGCCCACCACCGGTCAGTCAGCTGGAAACCCACAAGCCCGAAGCTGCCAGCCCCGGAGGAAAAGGGAGGGGGCTCTGCTTGTTCTCTGCAGACACAGCCAAGCAGCCGGCTCTGGCGCCTAAAGCGGACAGCCAGTGGGGCGGGGATGAACCCTGGTTTCAGTGAGAGGAAGGCTGGTCGCTAGAGGGACAGGTGTCCCTCCCCGAAACAGGTGTGGCTGGGGAACTGGGGGCAGAGAAGAGGCAAAAGGGACCCCCACTCACCTGCATGAAACGCAGTTTCTCCAGCCTTTCCATGATGACTGGCAGCAAGACTGAAAGAAGCCAGGGAGAAGCCAGACCTGTAGGGCCCTCCCTCAGACCCCCCTCCACAGTCAGCTCGGGGCTGAGGGATGCCCCTCCTCCCAGCAGTGTCGGAAAAGGCTTTTCATTTGGGAGAAGAATGAAGGCTGCAGGCATGGCCACTCCGACTCGTCCCCCAAGTTCCAGCTGAAGAGCTTCCTAGAGCACATCTGCAGTAACAGGACAGGTACCCCAGGCCCAAAGTGTCCTTCTCAAAACTGACCACTACCTTCGAAGGCTCATGGAAGCAGACTGTTACCCTATTCTGAACGTGCTCCTGCTGGAAGTACAACCAGGACCGGGGACTTACTTTCTCTACCACCGTCTCCCCAGCACCCCACAATGCGTCCAGCATGTTGAAGGTACTTAAGGAATACATGTTAAATGAAAAGAACGTAAAATGTCAGATTAACAGACATTCCAGGAACCACAGTGTGGTTCTCCTGTGGCTTTTGGCACTCAAACCAGGACAAGAAGCACGGCAATAGGGGCTGGGGTCCCACCTCCCACCCAAAAGCTGGGTGTGGCTGTGGCCTCCATCACGTGTTCCAGGGGCCCCAGGAGGGGAAGGCTTCCCCATCTTACTCATGCCAGGGGCCGCCATGGTGATCCGAGAAATAACCACTTGGGTGATGCCTATGGCTGCAGCTCTCTGAAGGCAGAAAAGAGTAAGTTGTCAGGAATGACCTTAACCAGTATCCAGGGCTGGGTCAGGGTCAAGGTCAGGGTCAGGGTCATAGCCAAATCTGAGCTGGTATAGGGAAGGGATGGACCTGTCAGGGGCTGAGTGACTTCACCCAATCCTCATCCACCCAGCCAGACTTTTATGGCTTCAGGACCAGAAGTGATAAAGGACATGAGGAATGTCCTAAACAGAGACACGCAGGGAAAACTGAGGGGAGTGAGAGTGGAGTCAGGGAGATTCTGTAACGGAGCCCAGGCCTGCTCTGACCACTAAGGATGGGACAGGGTATGAAAGGAAGTTCCCTCCTCCCACCCAAAGGGAGGCCTCTGCTCACCCGGGAATGACCAATCTCATTGTGATTCCTGTCCTTCACGCAGATGCCCTGGATGAGTTCCCTAAACACAGACAGGAGTTGCTAGACTGGGGAAAGGGGTACTGGGAACGGGTCAGCAATGTGGTGCGCTAGGGGGCCACGCCCAGGGCACTCAAGCTCTGGGAAGCCACCTTGTGCAGCCTGGCCATGTGACTCTCCTGCACTCTGGTGAGTGGTATTTCTGAAGTGATCTAGCACTGTGGTTAAGAGAGCCAGTCCAGAGCCCAGACTGCCTAGGCTGAACCCTGAAACCGTAGAGGAAAAGTCTGATCATGAGCAACTTCCATAATCCTTCTAAAGATTCAGTTATCCGCAGCGGCAGAATGAGGACAATTGTGGCAGCCACTTTATAGGATGTGGGCAAGGAGAAAACAGGATAATGCCTGCAAACTGCTTAGTCCAGTGCCAGACACAAAGTGACTGCACCACAAGCAACTGCTACCCTGGCTATTATTCTCGGGCCAGTTCTTGAGAGCACTCAACCCAAAACCAGGTACGGGGCTGGGACTTACTCATTTGATGGGGAGGAACAACTGGATGGGGGAGGGAGAGAGAAGAGGAGCAATGTGTACGCACGACTATTGTGGGAGTGTGTGCTCTTTCAGCAAGGGCAAGTGTGGTGAGTTTCCCTTTACTGGTAGTTCCAAGAAATGTTGCTTGTAGGAACTGGTGATGATGACGAAGGCGATGATGACAGCACCGATAAAAACTAACACTCTACATTTGTTGTGTTCTAGGTGCTATTTTGAGGGCTTTACACATATTGCATCATTCATTCACTTTCGTAACAGAGGAACATCTGTGCCTGCTCTAGTCAAGAAATAAAAACGGGCCCTGGCTGGTGTAGCTCAGTGGACTGAGCACAGGCCTGTGAACTGAAGGATCGCAGTTCGATTCCCAGTCAGGGCACATGCCTGGGTTGCAGGCCAATTCCCAGCGGGGGATACATGAGAGGCAACCACACATTGATACTTCTCTCCTTCTCTCCTTCCCTTCCCCTCTAAAGATAAATGAATAAAATCTTTTTTAAAAAAGAAGAAATAAAAATGGTGAGACACAACGGGTTTCTTCGTTCGCCTCCCCTGCTGCGAAGCTTAGAACTGGGTGCCTGGGAAGCATCTACGTACTCCTCTGGCTTCCTTCAAAGCTTCTGGGCTCTGTTCTGTCTTTGGACACACCTCACTCTGCCACATTTCATTCTGTAAGCCATCCCCAGGGCTTTGGAAGTAGCAGAGTTCACAACTTAAATACAGTTGCAGTTGAAAGGACATGATCGACTATAAAACTCCACAGAGTTGCCCTATCCCCACATCCCACACCAACCAAAAGATGACTGCCACACACAGATGAAACCTAAGTTACCTGTCACTCCTGCGGCCATCATTGTTGGAGCAATCTTCAGGGACCCTTCAGAAGCACAACCCAGATGCCCACCACCCCACCCCAGCCCAAGAAGCCACCCACTGCTTTGGTTTCTTGCCTTGGTTTCCCTGCTGACCTCGTGGCTTGTAGGGAGGAAAAAGGATCCCTGTACTCACTGCTGTCGCATCATTGGGATGTTGACACAGTTAGCAGCAGCCACAGCAGCAAAGGGCACCCAGCGGCCCACCAGGGGTGGAGCTTTCTGTTGGGGGAAGGAAACAAGGGGAGTTGTTCAGGCTTACTGCAAGATGGGAGTGGAGGGACTTACGGACTATAAATCAAGAATCAGACCTCACTACTGCCACACATCCAGACATTCATCTAGGAACCCAAACATCCTTAAAGGTTCCAGAAAGACCAACCTGGGGACAGCTCTGCTGTACTTCCCAGCACTTGACTGGGCTCCCATAATAACCCAATTTACCCAGACTGGGAAAATGCCTAGTGCTCCCATGGACTTTGCTGCCCCCTAGTGGTCACCATGCCCACAGCAGCCCCAGACAGTACCTTTGTCAACATGTTCATGCCCACAGCAGTGGCCACCGCCGTGGATGTGGCTGTGATGTAGGAAAGGGCCATCTGCCTAGTGGAGGAGAGAGATGCGTGGGAGTGGAGAGCCCCTCTTGCTGAGGGAAATAGCGTGGCCTGAGTGAGAAAGTCTGGAAACGAGGCTTCCTGCCTGTGAAGCTCCCATGATCTGTCCCTGGTATCATCTTGTGACCTCCCCCAACCTCTAGAAGCTCCACCCTCCGGGCCTCCCTTCTGTACTTGAAATGTGCATGCCGAGCTTTTTCCCTGCTTCGGAACCTCTGAAGGCTGCTGCTCCCTACCCAGGGTAGTCTTCCCTGGACTACGGTCCCTGGGCTCCTTCGTAGCCAAGTCCTTATCCTTCAGACTCAGCTGAAATGTCAGCTCTCCAAGAAGGGCATCGTGGAGCCTCCTGTCTGCACAGACACCTCTCTGCGCTGTTCCCTCTTGTCACCTGTGTTTCTCCTTAATGGCAGCAATCACATCTGAAATTACTGTGCTTTTTTTCTTAGAAGATCTTAAATTCCACAAGTGGGGGGACCACATATGTCTCACTCAAATGTATCCCTAGCACCTATGCCTGGCCCAAAATTCACACTCCAGGAGTATTTGTAGAATTAATGTAGAAGAAACATCTTTAGGATGAACACATTTTGAATTGGTCTGGGAAGTCAATACTTGCAGTCAGCATAAGAAAACACTTCCAGACCCTGAAGAGGGAGACTTGATCCAGTGCAAAGCCCACCCAGGGAGGTCTGAGAGCCTGAGAACCCTTGAGAAGGGCTGTTGCCCTGGAGGCAAAAGGACAGCCACCTCCTCCGCACATGTGGATGGCCTGGGGCTCAGGTCCCCTACCTGAGTGACGTGGGGGAAGCTGCATTTCTGTTGGTGTAGTTGACTAAAGCATTGAAGGACTGGTTCACCCACTGCCAGAAGATGACCGCTGGCATCGTTCTACCAGTAAGGAGAGGAGAGGAGAAGGGAAGTGAGTACACACAAGTCCAACCATGGTACCCACTGTTCCCCAAACTGTTCCCATGTGTTATGCACCTGGGCTTTTGCACAGCCTCACCCCTTTGCCTGGAACACAAACACACACACACACAGACACACTCACTCCGTTCCATAAATGGCTAGATCCTGCCCTGTTGAGAGATCGCTTCCTCCTTGGAACCTTTCTGACCCTTCCCCTGCCCTTCTGGAGACAAGGTCAGTCCACGCTCCCTGCTCCTGCAACCCCATGTTGTCTTCAGCCTACTGGACTGTAACTGTTTACTTCCTAGTCTCTTCAACAGGATTGGGAGCTATTTGAGGAGAGTACTAAAGTCTTTTTTTTTTTTTTTTTTTTTTTAGAGAAGGGGAGGGAGGGAGAAAGGGAGAGAAACATCAACTAGTTGCCTTCTGCACACACCCAGACCTGGGATCAAGCCCACAACCCAGGCATGTGCCCTGACTGGGAATCAAACTGGCGACCTTTCAGTTTGCAGGATGAGACACAACTGAGCCGCGCCAGCTAGGGAGGGACTAAAGTCTTTATATTCCTAAAAGCTGGGGCCCCAAGCCTGGCCCAAGTGAATGAATGCTTGGTGGGGAGAGAGGACAGAAGGAAGAGCGGAAAGGGCAGGAGTCATGTATCCAGCAGCTTGAAATTTTATTCTCTCCCCAGCTGAGCTAAAAGGGTCTTTCTATTTCTTTTCCTGGGAGATTACATTACAGAAATACATTAAATTCATTGTTGAATATAAGCACTTTTTAAAGAGGAAACTGAGACAGTTTACTCCCTGTGCATTCTAGAGAGGCCTGCCTCAGTTAAAATTTAGCTAACAGTACTTCCTGACCGTATGAACTTTGACAGCTTATATAATCTCTCCAGACTCTCAGTTCTTCATCTGTAAAATGGAGATAATAGTACCTGTCTGTAGGATTGTTGGGAAAATTAAATAAGGTAACACCTGCAAAGAATGTAGCACAGTGCCTAGCATCCAACAAGTTTCAATAAAGATGGCTATTAATACTATCATATTGCTTGCTGCCCGGCAGACCGGAGCAGCTATGCCTCCCAATGCCTTAGTCCCGGGCCCCACCGGTAGAACTGGAGCATGAAGCCCGTGATGATCATGCCGCCCGGAACCTGGAAGGACATCCGCCCAATGACGTTCATCTTCTCCCCGGTGTCAGGGTGGAAGGCCGAGTCGTACAGCTTCTTGGCATACAGCAGCTGCTCCACGTGGGTGCCTGGGGGCACGGCCCCCATCCTATCACCCCAGGACAACAGGCAGAGTTAGCTCCCTGTCCCCCCAGCCAAGTCATGCAACTCTAATTTCTCCCTCCTTCCTGAGATCTCCGCCTATGTCCTCACCTTCAGTTTCCACCTCCTCCCTAGGGAACTCATCACTATCACCCCAGGGCCTCCAGCCCCCTCCCCTAACTGCTCACCTGCTCTTCTCCACCATCACCTTGGCCCAGTCCAGCTCCTGCTCTGACACCAGGACAGTGCGTGGGTCTGTGATATTGAAGAAGTGCTTCACCCGCCCCAGGAAAGTGTGCTGGTCCCAACGAGGGGCATCGATGTTAAAGCCAGACAGGTCAGCATCCATCTTGCTCACACACGAAACTGTGGACTTAAGGAATGCAGGAAAAATGAGGACGGTCCCCCAATCAAAGCTTGCCCCCAGGCCCTGAGCACCTCCCACTGTGGTAGGTGGCCTGCTTTCACCAGCCACTGCTGTCACCTAGCTCAGTTTGGGAAAGCCTCAGTGACTGTCATCAGACTCAGCAACTGGGTACTGGCCTGTGTTTCCTGAGTGCCAACTGGGGGCCCGCCCTGTGTTTGATTAGGAGGGAGGGAGACTGGGACAGGGGACAACACAGTGCCTGTCCTTGGGGAGCTGAGACTGACTGGGGAACAAGAGCCCACCAGTGGGACAGTACACAGTACGTACAGCAACGGTGACACAGGAGATGAGCGGTGAGACAGTATATAATTGTTGGGAACTGCCTTGTCTGATTTCAGGAGCTGTAACCCCCCATGGCTAAGGCTGAGTGAGCAACCTTTGGACCATAAGCCACTAAGGAGACAAAGCTTATCTCCCTGGCAGGAGCACTGCTTCTGCTCCTTTTCCCATAGCTGGCCCCCAGTGTTTAATCAATTAGCCAATGACAGGTAAGATTCCCCAAGGTGGGGACAACCTAAGACAGGCATGATCACGTGGAGGCCCCAGGGAAGGACTTGGGGGGCTATGGAGAAAGGGGATGATGGACCCTCGCCCCTCGGCTTTGATGAAGCCTGAGTCCTCAGTCTGTCTTTGAGAAGTTTCTGAGATTTCCTTGGCTATCTGCCTCCCCTGCCTGACTTAAGCCTGAAACAAGGAAAGAGGGCGGTGCAGCCCTGTGCTGGAAAGGGCGGGCTCCCTGGGTGATCAGGCCTGAGAAAGGATATGTAAAATCCTGTGAAGTCTGCTTTGCTAAGAATGCTCTTAGTTAAATGATAAAGGCTCAAGCAGGAAATGGGTTTGTTTTCCAAAGTTTTGTAGCCTTTTAGCTGGTAGACCCTGACTCAGAAGAAGCCCTAATAGTTCTTTGTCTGCTACCTACTGTTTGATCCTTACTGCCTGATAATGATTAATGAGCTGTACCTGTATTCCTGCACAAATTAAACCCAATAAAAGCCTGTCTAGGCAAGGGTAAGCGTGCTCTCCCCTTGAGAGGGTGGCCAGGCTATTCCTAGGTGCTCCCTACTTGAGGGAGTAGCCGTGCCGTCCCTTTTCCTCCACAGGACTGGGTAGTCTGTGTGAATTTGTCTCATGTCTCATCCATGACACGAAGGGCACTGCGGCCGGTGCACACATCATACAATATGTGCAGCAACAGTGATACAGGAGACCAGCAGAAGCAGAGGGGGAGAGGCAGGGGAACCCAGTACTCAAAGGGGGCTTCCCGAGAGGGCTGGCATGTGAGCAAGGCCACAGAAGATGGAATAGCTTCATCTGAAGGAGGAAGAAGGCCTGAGATCACATTAAATGTAGAAGCAATCACAGATAAAGGTGAAAATCAACACGGTGTGACCACTTTCATCATTTCAGGGTCTGTGTGTGCGGTGCATCCCTGCCCTGTGGGAGATTCCCAGCACGGCTGTGAGTGAGGCACCTTACCCGCCTTCACGGAATTTCTGAATAGGAGGTAAACAAATAAATCCACAGGGACAGCAGAGTAAACGATGCTGCTGACAGTCACTGGGAGCAGTGGGAAGTCAGAGAAGAGGCATCTAAAACTGAAGTGACCATATCTCCCAGTTTGCCCAGGACTGCTGGCAGGGGGTAATTATTAACAGCACCCGCTTTCAATAATTCTCAAGTGTCCCAACTGGATGAGCAATTATATGGTCACCGTATCTAAAGTAGATGAGGGAGTCTGAACACACTTTACTAGTACAAGAAACAAACAATGTTTTGAAGGAGGCGTAGAAGTCAGACAGATGGAAGAGCAGTCCAGACAAAAAGAAGAGCCAGCCCAAAAGTGTGTGCAGTGTGTGGGGATGGTGAGATCCGCTCACACTGACTGAGCTCCTGCTCTACACTAGACCCTTTGCTCAGTGCTTGACATGCACTAGGCCCATCTTCGCCATAACTCTGTGCGATAGAACCCCATTTTATGGATGAGAAAACCAAGGCACAGATAAGTATTCAATAACTTTACCAAGCCACATAAGCATTAGCCAGCAGCAGAGCCAGGATTTTAACTCAGCTTGAGTTACTTTGGAACTCTCCTCCATAGCTGGGTTCTGGAATCCGTGTCTTGAAACACTAAGGCAGGTCTGACATGTAAAGGAGCTTGGACACCATCACTCCTGTTCTCACAATAAGAAAAAAGCTGAACGAACTAAAAATCAATACTTCTTCTTAGACCCGTTATAGAATTGAGGTCAAAGGGCAAACCACTGCCCCCAAACCTGAAGAGACAGGCCGGTACAGAGAAACACAGCTCACCGGAGTGGAAGCCCACTGATGGGGCACCTACCCTTGCAACACACGAGCTATAATCGACTAATTGCTAGAAGCTCAGTGTGGACAAGTGGGGACTCAATCTTGGGTGGGGTGAGCACCTTTGTGAGTTTTACATCCACAAGATCTCAAGGGGAAGATCAGGAAAAGATCCCCTAGTGCTTCTTGCAGGGAGATGGGAAAAATGGCCATTTTATTTTAAAGCACACCCAGGGCCCTCTGTTCTTAACGAGGCCTGCCCTCAAAGGGAACTGTTTTACCAGAACCTAAGTGACAGGAGACAAGGGAAATACCCAACTCCAGCCCCTTCCAGCCTTTCTGTCTCACTGAAGGGGAGTGAGGGGAGATTGCAAAGCACTTGTGAACCTTTACCAGGGCTGCAGGCTCCCTCAAACACTGCGCCCTAGTCTTAGGCCTGTACAACTGCAAGTCTCAGATCTTACTGAAGAAGTCTCTAGAAACCCAAAGACAACAGTGGAGACAAAAACAAGGACACCAAAGGAAATTTTGGCCTGAACACCCACGGATTCAGGACATAGGAAACACACACAGCCTAACTCTTGGCCAGATACACATTATCTGACTTTCAACAACAACAGAAAAACTACAATGCAAAGCATACTAAAAGGCAAAAACACAGTCTGTAGAAACTGAGCAAACATCAGAACCAGATGACAAGAGAGTTGGGGATTATCAGACTGGAACTTCAAAGAATTATAATTAATACACTAAGGATTCTAATAGGAAAGTGGACAACATGCAAGAACAGATGGATACTGTAAGCAGAGAAATGGAAACTCAAAGAACCAAAAAGACATGTTAGAAGTCAAAAATACTATAACAGAGATGAAGAATGCCTTTGATGTAGACTAGACATGGATGAGGAAAGAATCAGTGATGTAGAATCAGTAAAGCGTCAGTAGAAAATTTCCAAGCTGAAAATTAAAAAGAAAAAAGAATTTATGCCCTGGCTGGTGTGGCTAAGTGGACTGAGCACTGGCCTGCAAACCAGTGTCGCGCCAGTTCAATTCCCAGTCAGGACACATGCCTGAGTTTCGGGCCAGGTCTCCAGTAGGGGGCGTGTGAGAGGCAACCACACATTGATGTTTCTCTCCCTCTTTTTCTCCCTCCCTTCCCATCTCCAAAAATAAATAAATAAAAACTAAAAAAAAGAAGAACAAGATAGCCAAGAACCTTGAGACAATTACAAAAGTTGTGATATATAAATAATGGGAATACCAGAAGGAGAAGAGAGAAAGGAAAAGAAAAAATATTTGAAGAAGTAATAACTAAAAATTTTCCAAAATTAATGACAGACACCAAATCACAGATCCAGGATGCTCGTAGAACACCAAGTAAGATAAATACCAGAAAATCTACATCTAGGTATATTAGACTCAAAATACAGAAAATCAAGATCAAAGATAAGAATTGCATCACACTTCTCTTCAGAAAATATGCAAGAGTTAGACTGAAATATTTATGAAGTGTTGAAAGAAAAAAAAACCCATGAACCTAGAATTCTGTATTTAGCAAAATAAGCCTTTAAAAATAAAGGAGAAATAGGACTTCCGCCAAGATGGAGGCATAGGTGGATACGCAGTGCTTTCTCATACAACCAAGTTTAGAGACAACTAAATATTAGCAACAGAAAACACAGCCAGAACACAGAAAATTGAACTTTTCGGAAGTCTGATAACAACAAATTCTTCAGCCTGACCAGTAAGGGGCAAAACCAGCAGCTGGCGGAGAGGGGTAGCACAGGAAAACTCGGTCAGACGGACTCAAGCATGCGGAATCCAGGCGCAGGGTTGGACCTAGTGAGCGACCCAGCCAGCGACCGTGGGGGGAGACAGCGGGGGAGACAGTGGGGGAGCGGTGCTGCGTGTTGACTGTGGTCGCGCATTCGTGCACGGATAGACAAGCGAGGGAGTGGGCGATTGGACGGGACCCAGCGGGTCCCCACGGCGAGCAGCAGCGGAAGGCGCCACCATTTCCCCACTCTGACCCCACCTCCACATATAGCGTCATAACCCAGCAACTCTGAATGGCCCGACCCTGGTGAACCACCTAAGGCTCTGCTCCTCACCCAGCAGCCGGAAACAGCAAAGGGGGCCGCCATTTCCCACTCTGACCACGCCCCCACATATAGCGTCACAACCCAGCAACCTGGGAGTCCAAAGCTCCACTCCTCATACTTAACGGGCACGAACAGACCAAAAATGGCTCAAGAAGATCTCAAAGCCCCAGAGCCTATAAATCTAAGCGATGAAGAAATAGCAAAACTCTCAGACGCACAGTTTAAAACAATGGTGATCAGGATCCTCACAGAACTGGTTGATTATAGCCACAAATTAGAGAAACATATGAAGGCAAAACTAATTGAAATGAATGGAATTGCACAGGAAACCAATAGCGATGAAAAGGAAACTGGGACTCAAATCAATGGAGTGGACCAGAAGAAAGCAAATAATGGCCAAAAAGAAAAGAGTCAAGAAGCAAGAATTCAAAGAAATGAGGAGAGTCTTAGGAACCTCCAGGACATCTTTAAACGCACCAACATCCGAATTATAGGGGTACCAGAAGGGGGAAAGGAACAGCCACCAATGGAAAACTTATTTGAACAAATAATAAAGGAGAATTTCCCCAATCTGGCAAAGGAAATAGACTTCCAGGAAATCCAGGAAGCTCAGAGAGTCCCAAAGAAGTTGGACCCAAAAAGAAACACACCAAGGCACATCATAATTACATTAGCCAAGATAAAAATGAAGGAGAGAATCCTAGAAGCAGCAAGAGATAAGGGGACAGTCACCTACAAAGGAGTCCCCATCAGACTGTCAGCAGATTTCTCAAAAGAGATCTTACAGGCAAGAAGGGGCTGGAAAGAGGTATTCCAAGTCATGAAATCCAAAGACCTACAACCAAGACTGCTCTATCCAGCAAAACTTTCATTTAGAATGGAAGGACAGATAAGGTGCTTCTCAGATAAGATCAAATTCAAGGAGTTCATCATCACCAAGCCCTTATTATATGAAATGTTAAAGGGACTTACCTAAGAAAAAGAAGTTAAAAAAACATGAACAGTGAAAGGACAGCAAACTCACAGTTATTAACAACCACACCTAAAACAAAAGCAAACTAAAAGGACAGCTAGATCAGGAGTGGAAACATAGAAATGAAGTTCTCAAGGAGGGTTAGCAACAGGGGAGTGGGAGGAGGAGAAGGAGGGAGAAGGTACAGAAAATAAGTAGCATAGACAGTAGACAGAAAATAGATGGGGGGCAAGAATAGTATGGGAAATATAGAATCTAAAGAACTTGAGACACATAGTCATAAACTAAAGGGGGGTAATGGTGGGGACGGGGGGTAGGGTGGAGGGAAATGAAGGGGGGAATAGAACAACCATAATGGCATAATCGATAAAATAATAAAGGAGAAATAAAGACTTTCTCAAACAAAGTTGAAAGAATTTGGAATTTGTTACCAAGAAACTTGACTTGCAAGATGTTAAAAGAATTTCTTCAGAGAGAAAAATATGATATATGTCATAAACTCTGGCCTGGGTAGTGTCAGAGAAGAAATAAATGAAGGTAAAATAAAGTCTTTATTTTGAATTAAAATTGTTTGTTTGTTTATTTAGAGAGGGGAAGAGTGGAAGAAAGGGAGGAAAACAAACATAGATCAGTTGCCTCTCCCACACCCCCAACTGGGGACTGGTCTGCAACCCAGGCATGTGACCCCACTGGGAATCTAACCAGTGACCTTTTGGTTTGCAGGCTGGTACTCAATCCACTGAGCCAGAGCTATTTTTCTTACTCTAATTGTTAACAGTTAACAAATAACAGTTTGTTCGAAATAACAGTAACAACAATGTATACTAGTTATTATAGCTGTAGATAAGTGAAATGAATGAGTAACAGCACTGACATAATGCATGGGTGGGAGGAACCGCAAATGCGCTATGGAAGGTACCTGCACTGCCAGTGAAGTGGTACAGTGTTACTTGAAAGTGAGCTTGGATTAGTTATAAACGTATATTGCAAACGTTAGGGCAACCCCTAAAAATTTTTCAAAAGAAGTATAATTGATGTGCTAAGAGAGGAGAGAAAGTGGAGTCATAGAAAAAGCTAAGGCTTTGGAACTTTTCCCTAAAAATTTCAGGAAGCCATTAAAAGATTTTAAGAAGAGTTACAAGATCAGATGCTTGGTTTTATAAAGAACGGTCTGGGAAATCATAGGAGATAAGCACGTGGTGGCAGCACCTCACAGGAGGCAGAGACACCTGTTGGTTAATAAGTGGACAAAAAGCCCAGTGAGGAAGAAGGCCGGGCCTCCTGAACATTCTGTGTGCCGCTGTGTCTCCATAGTCTAGAATAGGACATGGCCCCTTGTGATCTCCTCTTCCAGTCTTCTGCAGGGAGGGAGGGTGGAGATAGCACCACTTCCCAACTCACCCCAAATCCCTCTCATTCTTACTTTCGTGAAGTGCCAGCCCATTTCTTGCCTCCTTGGGGACTGCAGAAGCCGTACCTCCGGTCCTATGTAATTTAGCAAATCGGGACCATCCCAAAATGCCTTTTCACCCGCCATGTCAGTTCACCCCAGGGCTCTGGGCCAGTCCCTGGGCTGCTTTTCACCTCCGACAGGCAGTCTCCCACCACTCGGACTCCTCCATTATGTACTTCAACAACTGGCGTGCAGAGATGGGTGCACAACCCACACGCCCCCGTTCCTCACACTGACAGACGAAGGCGCTGAGGACCATAAGGAAGAGGTCCAGGGGCAGACCCTGGGCAAGGCTCTTCCCACGCGGCTTCAGCAGATGGAAGCCCCACGCGCGCTGCAGCCCAGCTTGGGCAAAGTCAGGACAGAAATGCAAGTTCCCTCCCAGGATGTAAGGACTGGAGGTAGATGTACCGAGCGGCTGCCTCCCCAGACCACTTACCTGGTCCCGGGAAGAACGCTCAGAGACAAATGTCTGCAGATGCAGCCCACCCTTGAAGCCTTGCGGGGATACAACTAGGAACTCCTCCCGGGAAGCTCCGTCGCCCCGCCTTCACGCCCCTCCGTTTCGACCAATCCTGGGCCCGGAGGCGTGTAGGCCAAGTGGGCGAGTTGTCAAGATTCCAGGGTTTCTACCAGCTCGTGGCCACCTCCAGCCGCTCTAGCCGCCCGCCGGAGCAGTGAGCGAGCACCTTGACGCGCCTGCGCACTTTGGGGAAAGCGGAGCTGGACCCCGCCCCGTTCTGTTGTGCTGCTTCGCTGCTCCGCTGTGCGCGCGAGGGACGTCGGGGGCGGTGCCGCAGTTAGTTGCCCCTGGTAACGGGGGTGCAGGAGGAGGAGGAGGGACTCTGCGGGAGGATGGTGAGTGTGGGGCCTGGGCCCCTCCTGAACCGCTCGGTCACCCCCAGCCTCGTCCCCAAGCCAGGGCGGGGCACTGCGCTTAAAGCCGAGAAGGGAATGGGATGATGCTTAGCCTGCTGTCTGGGTCCTGGATTGGTGTCGGGGGGCGGCCGGAGCCCCAAGGGTGTGGGCCTAGGAGGTAGACCTGGGCCTGGGGAGGAAGGCGGAGCTTGCAAGGGGTCCGAAACTAGGGAAAGGGGCTGGAAGGGTGCGTGGATGTCCCGGGTGGGAGCCGGTGCTCCATCATTACTCTGGGGATTGGGAGGAGGGCGAATCCGAGAAGTAGCGAAGAGCAGTCTTCGCTCGCAGGCTTAGAGATTTACTGGGAGTCGGCCTCGCTACGCCGACAGAAAGTGGGGTTCCCTGGGACCTTTCCATAAATGGGGATCAGGGCCATTGCTCTTGCGTTTGAGGTCGCCCTAGCGGTACCGTGGGACAAGGTAGCCTAGCGCTCCACTGCCTCGGGATGTGCGGGCGTCTGTGGGGAGGGTTTTAAGTCCCAGGATACAAAAGAAGTGCCTCTTGAAAGATAATGCCTGGTGGATTTTACACCACCTCCTGTGTGCGTGGCGGGCAGGCTTCTGCAGTCCTTATTTATTTGCTGAGGGTTCTGCAAGGTCTATTTGTACCTGATGACCAATCTTCAATACTTAATCCATGTTGCTGGAAAAATTTTAGTCCATGTTGCAAGCAAATTTGCTGCCCGGTTCCCGGTATTTCCTTCAGAACCTGTTGCAACCTTATTTTGCGTACGACCACACCAGAGCCAAAAGGTCTTAATCTCAGCTCGGGGCCTCCAAACTATAAAAAAATGGGAAATTAAAGCTGGAGAGTGGGCATCAATTTGGGGAAGTCTTTTTCTCTGTCAGATCTAAAGAAATCTTTCCAAAACTGTAAACCGTGATGTGTGACAGATTTGACCATTGACCCTCTCTGTTCCTTGTTGACTTCTGTGAAGTTAATTGGAGGTTGTTAAAATGAAGTCGAGTAGTTTTAGAGCAAGCAAAGAAGAATCGATTGTGAAACATGTAGAAAAGGTTGATTAGCTTACCAACCGTAAAAAGCCAGCACTCGAACTTAGTTACTTCCCTACCCCAACCCCAGTCCCTTTTTGACTTTTAGAAATGTTATACCACTTTATTGATCTAGAAGAAAAAGCTAGATGTCCACAAAGGAAAAAAATATATAGCTTTGGTCAGATTATCCAATGAGTACATTTTGAAAGAAAAAAAATCAATTGATTTTACATTGTCAGATTGTTAAAAAAGTAGAATTATTTGAAGTTGCCGATCACATTTCCTACTCACTACAGTGCAGTTTTATTAACCGCAGGCTAAACAGATTTTTACATGTTTTCTTTTTATTAATTGTCTGTACATGAGCTGTCCACTTAAAGGCTTAAGTTTCTCTCAACAAATGAATATAAAGATAAATACCCCCCAAAAATGACTAGAATTGAAATGACAAAGACATGCCACACCAATAGAGAATGAGATGTCATCATAAGTGAGAATGCATGAGAGTAGCCTAACTTTTCCCATTGTGTTTATCAGTTAAGTGGATTGTGTAATTTCGTGATAGTCTCATTTATAATTATAGGCCACAATAAAGTAACCACTGTTCATGTTTCCAGGTGCAAATCGATACTGTATGCAACAAATTGACAGTGTATGCAACACTTATATACAACTATTCAGTGATCAAGACAGATTTGGTTTTTATTTTTTCCTAAAATGAACAATAAGAAATTAGGACAGATTATTCTAGATTCTTTATCTGATTTCCAAAATACTTTTTTTTCTATCTCTAAAGAAGTATGAGCTATTCTTAGAACTGAAAGTGGAACATGGAATTTAAAAAGTCAGTGGTGTGAGTAAGTGTGTTACATCTTGAATCCCATGGGCCCCACGGTAACTAAACAACTGAACAGTAAGTCCCAGGTTGTTGGTTTTGGGTTGTTTTTTTTAACCTTCAGCTATGACTAATACAAACTTTTTTTTTTAATTTTGAGGGTACTTCAACCAAAACCCGTTGGGGTTTCTCTGAACATCTAAGGTCAGCTATTTTACCCCTGCTTTATGATTCTAAGTCCTTGGTGAGATACTAAAATGGCAGTAGTTCTAGAGCATAATTAATTATTGTTATTTGACAGATGACTCCTTCATTCAGGAATTAATTACAGACTGCTTTCTACAGATATGAGCCTAGTGGTAGTTATCAAGCATATTCAACATTTGAAGATTCCCAAGATTATGTTTTATGGTCAGAAATGGTCAGTGAAAAGTAAAAAAATATATAAACAAACAGCTGTTTTGAGTGCCTACTGTGTGCCATGCTTTACACACAGTACCTTATTAATCTTCCTAACATTTTTCTCTAGATGTAAATATTGCTCCCATTTTCTAGATCTAACTGTGACTGGAGTTACACATACAGGGAGGTTGAATACAAATCTATAAAACTCGAAAACCCGTAATGTTCTTTTCATTAGGACGCTGGTGAAGTGGGAACTCACAGCCTTTCTGAGGAGATGCTCTAATTTTGTTCGTCAAGAAACATGGTAATAATGTAGTAGAGAGATGAGGAGAAAGAGGGCAAAGTTTGGGTGAAGTTCTCCCTGTCAAGGCTATAGGAATTCCTGGAAATTAATAAGATCTTACTGGGCAGTACCAACTTTTTTTTTTATTGGGTGTTTTCTTTTTTTTTTTTTTTTTTTAGATTTTTATTTATTTATCTTTAGAGGAGAAGGGAAGGAGAGAGGGAGAGAAATATCAATGTATGGTTGCCTCTCGTGCGTCCCCTGTTGGGAACTGGCCTGCAACCCAGGCATGTGCCCTGAGTGAGAATCGAATTGCGATCCTTTGGTTCACAGGCCCACACTCAATCCACTGAGCTACACCAGCCAGGGCCCAACTTTTTTTATTATTATTATTTTAAAGGGGTAAAAATAAATTGAAGTCAGTTCCATTTAAGCTAGTTATGGGGAGTACATGTACTTGACATTTGGCTTACTAATTGAATATTTAAATTTTAGCCGCTCCTCACAGCCACTATTTTTTTTTTTAATCCTCACCCAAGGACATTTTTTAAATTGCTTTTAGAGAGAGAGGAAGGGAGAGAAAGAATATCAATGCGAGAGACAAGCATCGATTGGTTGCCTCCTGGAGCACCCTGACCAGGGATCAAACCCACAGCCCTTCGGTCACGGGAGGACACTCTAACCAGCTGAGCCACACCAGACAGGGTCACATATATTTTCCATATACCAACACATCCCTCTTTTTCCCTCTACCACACCAGTTTCTTTGAATGACCTAGTGTGCATCATTTTAGATCAGTGAGCCATGCCTTTGCCAATAGTTGAGTTTAAGCTGATTGTGAGGCAGGCAAAATGTCTGTAGTGAATAGCACATCTATTCATGATTTGCCTGTAGTAAAGTTTGTTCAAAATTTTGTGGCTGAGTCAGACCACTTTTGTCTACCAGGGTGCATATAACTGGCATATATGCATGGCGTTTACACAATCTACAATGAACTAAAGTTCTTGTTTCTTAAATTGCCTTTATTTAATGTCATAGGAGTACAGATCCTACATAGAAACCAGGTCTGTTTTGCTCACTCTTGTACTCGGGCACATCATGGGGTATTTAATGATGAATGAATGTTTTGACCAAAAATACACCTTAAAAATCCATTCCATTGTATTTGTAACTGTAAAACTTAGCCCCATAATAAAATTAATTTCTAATGTTTGCCTTCCTTCGACATTGAAAATAAAGTATGAACATACATGGATAGATCCCTAGAATAGACTTACTCTGCTCTTTCCTCCAGCCTGTTAAATCGGCTTATTTTGTACCTTTCAGGCAGAACCCTGATATCTATAAATATCCTCTTCCCTATTTAGCAAACGCTGGTAATCCTGGGATCCCCTGTCCTGAGTAGTTGGGTTAATATGATGCTGTATTGTATTTGAATTTGTCTTGCCTAGACCATGCTTGAGATGCCATTTATCATTTCGCTGGAAGAAGATATTAGCTGAACTTTCCATTTCTCTGTAATTTCACTTGTGAAGTCATTGTTTCCCAATGAGGAAAATTACCCATTAGAAATGTAGAAGTCTCGTCTTTGATACCATTAGGTCAGTAAAGTTTAGCTATAGTTAGAATGGTTTCTTCCTTTTTTTATGTTTAAAAAGATTTTAAAAAAGATTTTATTTATCTATCTATAGAGGAGGAAGGGAAGGAAAGAGGGAGAGAAATATCAATGTATGGTTGCCTTCATGTGTCCCCTGATGGGAACTGGCCTGCAACCCAGGCATGTGCCCTGACTGGGAATCGAACCGCGATACTCTGGTTCGCAGGCCCGCACTCAATCCACCGAGCTACACCAGCCAGGGCTTTAAAAAGCTTTTTAATTTTTTTTTGTTGTTGTCGTTGTTCAAGTACAGTTGTCCCCATCATTCACCCCAGCACACCCCTCCCCACCCGACCCATCCCGGCCTCCCACCCTCGAACCCACCCCAGAATGGTTTCTTTCTCATCTGTGTTTTATTTCTCTCCTTTTAAGATGAATAGAAATTACATTTTTTCTTTTTATTTATTGATTTGAGAGAGAGGAAGGAAGGTGGAGAGCGAAACAGAAACATCAGTGTGTTGTTGCACTTATGTATGCATTTGGCAGTTGAGTCCTGTGTGTGCCCTGACCAGGGATCGAACCTGCAGCTTTGGACTATCCGGATGAGCCTCTAACCAATGGAGCTACCTGCCAGGGCTTTACCTTTTTCTTTAAATTATTCAGTGTCAAGTAGAACGAGTGTGTGCAAAGTCTCAGCCTACAGAATGCAGTATTTTTATTTACTAATTTCTTTAAGGAAGAAATACATGAGGAAAAACCCAAAACATTCATTTTGAACCTTGAAATATTTTATAGAAAACAAGCCTTCTGCCCTGGCTGGTGTGGCTGTGGTTGAGCACTGGCCTGAGAATCAATGGGTCGCAGGTTCAGTTCCCGGTCAGGGCATGTGCCTGGGTTGTGGACTGAGTCCCCGGTCCCCAGTAGGGGGCATTTGAGAGGCAACCACACATTGATGTTTTTCTCACTCTCTTTCTCCCTCCCTTCCCCACTGTCTAAAATAAATAAATAAAATATTTTTAAAACATTTTTAAGAAAAAGAAAGAAAACAAACCTTCTTTCACGATTTCTATACTAGTAGATAATACATGACAAGAACTGTACCTGTAGGTTGTTTAATGTACTAATGGGATAAATTCCAGTTGTTTTAGAGTTTGATTGGAAAGGTAATGAGGACATCTAACCAGGAACTCAGGAGCAGCACAGTGTGTTTTCCCTGTTCTTAGCCTTTTTATATCACCAGTCCTCTGAGGAGCTCAGACTTCTAATTTTAACTGTTCTGAAAGGTGGTATTATAAATGAGTGATTGCAATGTAGCTAACAGAAGCCAGGGAGACTTCTCATAAATATAGTTTCAAAAAGGAATGGTGTCAAAGAATTAAAGGCCAGAAAGGATGAAAACGAAAGAAGTGTCATCCCTTTAAAGAAAAAAAAAAAATACCTATTTTTGTTTGTTAGTTTCAGGTCTGTTCAGCCTCTCTTCCCCACATCTTTTGGTATACAATTTGTCTTTCTCTTTTGAACCAAAACCTTCTATTTTAGTTCTGGGAAAATTTGAGGCATATAGAGGTTAATGTGGTTCTTAGCAAGTCAGTGCAAATACAGTACTGGAAATGGTAAACAAAGCGTCTCTGAGGAGAAAGGAATTCTTAATAATTGTACATATTTGCATATCATGGTCTAAAGACTCAGTTGTTGAGAATTATTTCAACAACTTATAATCTTATAATTAGATCTTATTAAGATTATAATCTTATAATTATTATAGATTTTATAATATAAGCATTATAAGATCTTACTTATGTTCTTAGATAAAAAGCAGCATGGTTTATTTCCACTCATAAAAATTAATTATAATAAAAACAAGAAACGGAAATATTAGGTCACTGGTCAAAAATATCAGATTGAATTTTGATTTTTCTTCATTAGTGACTTTTAAATTCCCTAACTTCTCTGTTTCTTCAAATTCTTCATCTGAAAAACAGATCATCCCCGCTGTGCACCTGTACTCTAGGGTCTAGTGAAAGTCACATGATGGTAGAGTATTTTGGATGACGAAATCTCTTTCTTTTCAAATTTTATTTATTGATTCTTTTATTTTTATTTATTTATCTATTTATTTTTATTTATATTTAGAGCAAGGGGAAGGGAGGAAGAAAGAGGAAACATCAATGTGTGGTTGCCTCTTGCACGCCCCCTACTGGGGACCTGGCCTGCAACCCAGGCATGTGCCCTGACTGGGAATCAAACTTGTGACCCTCTGGTTCACAGGCTGGTGCTCAATCCACTGAGCCATACCAGCCAGGGCTATTTATTGATTCTTTTAGAGAGAGAGAAAAGGAGAAACACCTATTTGTTATTCTACTTATTTATGTATATACTGGTTGATTCCTGTATCTGCCCTGACCAGAGATGGAACCCGCAATCTTGGTGTATCAGGATGATGCTCTAACCAACTGAGCTGAGCTACATGGTCAGGACAGAATGATGGTTTTAAACTTGAACAGAGCCCAGATACAATTTCATACAACTTTTTTGTGTTTCTTTGTATAGCACCTTTGCATCTTACACTTACTTGGGTGGATACTACTATCTAGTATCTATCTAACAAGTACCAGGTATGTGGGAAATAGAAGGTATAGTCTTTACCCACCAGAAATTTCATGCTAGTAAAGGAGGAAAAAACAAAAGGCAATTTCCTATAGCTGGATACAATGAGTACTGTAGTCTTAGTTTATAAGAAGAAGGGCTTTGAGCACGATTTGGTAGTAGCTCATACTCCCAGGGAATCTGGGGTGACCACTAAGCCGGATTAATAGGAGGAGCAAGAATAAGCCATGCTATTTATTAAGTTGCGAAATTTACTAACATACTTCTGCCAAAACTCAGAAGGGGGAAGCAACTGAAATAAGTGGCGTTAAAATAGAAAATAATAACAATTGTGCTCTTCACAACCAAGAATTTTTTCAAGAAGAGACTCTGATGTTCAATAATAATCAACATTAGTGCACCCAAAGTAATCTTTCTTATGGTTGTTCAAGGGCTTACTCTCAATTCTGCGTAAATTGAAAAGTGCACCAGACCAGGAGGTGAGACTCCTTCTCCTGGGCTTGGACAATGCAGGCAAGACGACCCTTCTGAAGCAGCTTGCGTCTGAAGACATCAGCCACATCACACCGACACAGGTGAGCCCTGCCTCGGCCCCAGACGCTTGTGGACACGTGGAAATGACAACAACAACTCGAAAGACAAAGTGGGAAATATGGTTTTGTCTACGTCTGAGTTTTGTTACTGAGAAAAGCCTGTCCTGTTTAAAAGCAATCTTAAGATTCATTAAACATTTCAAGAGATTCCAATCACGTGAAATACTTTGAGTAGTCAAGTACATGTAGACAGAAAGTAGAATCACAGAATAATGGTTACCAGAGGCTGTGGGGGTAGTTATCAGTTAATGGACTCAGAGTGTCCGTGTTGCAAGACAGACAGAGTTCTGGAGAGGATGGTGGGGACGGCTGCCCAACAGGGGGAATGTGCTTAATGCCACTGAGCTGCATGGTTAAAATGGTAAATTTTATGTTATGTATATTTTATAATTTTTTAAATAAATAATTCAAATAAATATGTATGAATACATATGTCAAGACATTCAATTCCCTCCCAGCTAAGTGATTGCTTTTTAAAATTTTTTTAATTGATTGATTGATTTTAGAGAGAGAAACATCGATTTGTTGTTCCACTCATTTTTACATTCATTGGTTGATTCTTGTATGTGCCCGGAGCCATTGGTGTGTGGGGACAGTGCTCTAACCAACTGAGCTACCCCACCAGGGCCTAAGTGATTCCTTTTTAAAAATAGCTTTATCACCCTGGATGATGTAGCTCAGTGGGTTGGGCATTGTCCTACAAAGTGTAGGGTCACTGGTGTCATTCCCCATCAGGACACATGCCTGTGTTGAGGGCCACATCCCCCCAGTTGGGGCATGTGTGAGAGGCAGCCGATCGATTTTTCTTTCTTTCTTTTTCTCCATTCCCCTCTCTCAGAATAATTAAATATAATCTTTTTTAAAAATAGCTTTCTCTTCTCTGATTATGAAATTATTTCATGTAGAAAACACAGAGAAAGTATAAGGGAGAAAACCAAAGAGTACTATGAGAAAAGCCACTGTTAATATTTTAGTGTATATTTTTCAGACTTAATAAATATAAATATATATATCAATTTTTAAAGTAAAAAAACAATTACCTATATATTTTTTTTAAATTTTTAAAGGTTTTATTTTATTTATTTTTGGAGAGGAAGAAAGAGAAGGAGAGAAACATCATGTGTGGTTGCCTCTCACCTGGCCCCCACTGGGGACCTGGCCTACAACTCAGGCATGTGCCCTGACTGGGAATCGAACTGGTGACCCTTTAATTCGCAGCCCAGGTTCAATCCACTGAGCTACACCAGCCAGGGCCAATTACCTATATTTTTAATCCAGCTTCATCAGTGCTTCTCTTTCCTAAGGCTAATCAGGAAAATACAAGGGTAAGGCCGTGATAGTGCTTGCTGTCTAGAAGTTGAAAGATAGGTCCCAGTGGAAAGAACTCTAGTCCACTCCTTTGCACCTCCTTTCCTGGAGGAAATTCTGAGAAAGCTGGACCTTCGGCCAAGCCTTTGGGTTTCCTAAGGAGGGAGAGCCCTGTTGGGCTTAGTCACTTTAAAGTGTTTGACCATTAGAGGTTTTAGCAAACCCCTGGTTACTTAGCATTTTCTGTCACCACGGTGTGATAAGAGCTTCATGTCCAGTGTGAATGGCTGTGCTGGTGTGTGTACTGTGTGGCCTACAAGTCTTACTGATTCAAAACCCTTTGCGGAAAAGTGAGCAATTGTACAGCTTCTAAACGAATATAATGTAAGCCTAAGGAGGAGCATATTACAGTAGTCTAGCCTAGAAAGGCTGAAACTCATATTAGTGTGTGAGGATTTCTGCCAGAAAAAGAAGGGCTAAATTTTTTTTTTGGGGGGGGGTTGATTTGTGCATCTTAAGAACACCACTTAAAATAGGACTTCCATGCTGCAAACATGGAAATGAACTCAAAGTTGTGGACCCAGAGTTCCAATTCTAGCTTTGTTTGATGTGTTGTAGGTGATTCTTATTATACAGGGTAGAGCAGAAGTAGGTTTACAGTTGTTCTTATGGACAATAGTATAAGAATAAACTGTTTTGTGTATTCACAACTGTAAACCTACTTTTGCCCCACCCAGTATTATGTCAAGACTTCATATTTATTTTTTAAAAACAGACTTTTGGTATTTTTGTTTGTATATTAGAAAAAGTAATAGATGTTCATTATAGTAAATTTAGAAAGCATTAAAAAGTAAAATTTAGAAACTGAAAATCACTTATAATGTCCATTCCTACATAACCACTATTAACATTTAGTTACATACCCATTCAGTTTTTTTCTATGCATATACATGATAGGCATATTTAAAATAAATTTAAAAGGCTTATGGAAAATAAGCTGTTTACATTGAACATCTTTATATGTTGTTATAAATACTAATGCAATACATCTCTCTAAATGTTTATATCTACACATTATTTCCTTACAGTATTTCTTAATAGATTGGATCTGATGACTTAGTAGAATTTTAAGGCAGTTGGTACATATGGTTGAATTCCAGAATTTACTCTTACTTATTCCCTGCTTCATTTCAGAAGGATTTGACATTTACTATTGTAGTTGTGTATAGAATTTTTAAGTTCACAAAAGTGGTTCTGTCAGTGAGTCAGAATGAAGTAGTTTTTACAATAAGCCTAAGTCACTTCCCTTTACAACTCTTTAACTTCTCATTTATTTAGTCATTGGCGCTTTAGAGGAGTTGCAATCAGCATCATCCGCAGCTGCTGTCCAGGGACCGTTGTTTATCCTCAGGGGAAGTTGGGTGGCAGTGTCCCTGCACCATTGCCCTGCCCCTTGCCTGTACGTGCTGGGCAGCAGGGCTGGCGAGCTGCCGGACGAAGCCGCGCTTGCGGAGGCGCCCCCGACCCACTTACCTCCAGTTACTCTGGGGGAACACGCTCCGGGGGTTTCAAATCCCGATTTCACTCTATCAGTTTTGCGAGAAGATTTTTTTTATTCTTGCTCATGAAATGCCTTCTCTTGGAACCCCAGAATTCTTGTTAATTTGTTTCTCTGCTCACTAACTCCCAGCTCACAGCTCTGCCTGCCTCTGATCTGTTCACCTTCCACAAGCTTCCACCTTGAGTGACGGTCCTGAAAATGAATACTTTTTTTTCAGGTTCATCAGAGATACCTACTAAAGAACAACTTCCAACAGCTGCTTGTTTGTTTGTTTTCATCACCGCCTGTAATTGAGGGTTCCACTTCAGAGTTGGAACTTGTTCCAGCAGGCCCTACCTTTCTCACTGGGCCCCAAATCCAGTCATTCACCAGCCTCCCTCACAGTGCCCTGAAATCAGCACCTTCCTCTTCCTGAGTAATCCACACGAGGACATTTCTGTATTAATTTCGGACCACTCCTAAAGAATCCAGTCTTCCAGATTGTAGCTTTTGCCTTTGTTCTGTTCTGTTGAGGTTTCAGATCCAGCTTTGGGGTGGTTTTTGTTTTTATATTTTTATTTATTTATATTCAGAGAGAGGGGAAGGGAAGGAGAAAGAGTGGGAGAGAAACATCAATATGTGGTTGTCCCTCATGTGCCTCCTGCTGGGGACCTGGCCTGCATCCCAAGCATGTACCCTGACTGGGAATCGAACCAGCAACCCTTTGCTTTACAGGCCCATGCTCAATCCACTGAACTACACTAGCTAGGGCCCCGCTTTGGTTTTTTTCTCAGTTTAGAGGAGTTGTCCTTTAACAGGACACTATATGTAGTGTCCTGTTACATTTCACCATCCTGAGGACTCATCAGGGGTGTGGTCTGTGTTATCAAAACTATTTTCATACCAAGTTGTCCCCAGCAGGCGTGTGTGTGTGTATGTGTGTGTGTGTGTACTCGTTATGGAGAGCACATCACAGTAGCCATGATGTTATAACCCTGACTCTACCACCTGAATGAAATGCACATGTGTAAGCACGGCTCTTTCTTCCCTGTCAGAGCAAACCGTTTGCAGTATTTCCAGTGTCACATCTGGCAGAGCACCTCAGAGCTTGTCAGTAACGTAGCTGTCAAATAAAACTTCATCAAAATTGTGATCCCGAAGCTTAGTAAAACTTGGTTTTTTTGCCTTTTCTATTGCAGGGTTTTAACATCAAAAGTGTGCAGTCACAAGGTTTTAAACTGAACGTATGGGACATTGGCGGGCAGAGGAAAATCAGACCATACTGGAGGAATTATTTTGAAAACACCGATATTCTTGTAAGTACTCCTTTTGATGTGTTAATTCATAGTCTTTTCTGCCATGTTAGGAACATTAACACTGTAGTGCTCTTTCTTGTCAATAATTCCATTGCCGTAATGTTAATCACCATGGATGTAGGGCTAGCAGAAGGCTCCAGACTGTGAGGGAGAAACCTCTTTGTAAAACTTGTATAATGTTTTGCTGTTGCTCAATAACGATGCTGTGCCCACACCCACCATGGCAAATGAAGTATTTATTGATTACCATGGTGATTTGAACAGCAGAAGGGAAGTCAGAAAACTGAGCCACTAACTCTGTCATCCCAAGGATTTTAACGCATCAGGTGTATCCCAACCTGAGCAGTGAAGATAGTGAGACTCCTGGAAACAACGTTGTGTAAGGAACGCTTGAAAGACCTGATGCTCAATGTCCTTCCTGGAAAAGAAGACACTTGTGACTGTCTTCAGTTGTTTTAAGAACTGTTCTAAGTCAGAGAGATTAGCTTCATTATACATATTTCTAAAGGAGTGGACAAAGAGCAGTTTGGTGAGTATTAGGTGGTAGAGATGAACTCAGAATAAGGAGGAAGGTTCCTATAATTGTAACTGTCCAGAATTAGAAGTTGCTGCCCCACGCAGTGGGGACTCCTGGGCTGAGATGGCCCTGGCTCAGGCAGACGCCGGAGTGGTAGCTCCCAGCTCCCTGTCACATTCTCTAGGACCGCTGTTTCGGAATTCTTAGATTCCACTGTCCGACTACATGCTTTCGCCCGTACCTCAGCCTCTCAGTCTGTGTTCCTCCAATGATCTTGTCACTCACCCTGTCTTAGTCCCTCACTCTCCTCTTTGCACCCTAAAACTAGGGGGTCTTAGGAACTTGGATAGGAAAAAATGCATTATTATTTTTACTAACTTTGAACTGAAAGTTTGCGTTTATTTCAGTTGTGACATAGACAGCACACTGCACTGTCGGCCACACCTGTGTCTTCCTTGCCTGCGGGAATCATCCTGCATCTCAGATACTTCATTCTGCTGCTGCTTCCCTCGCGTCTCTTCCCGCTGCGTCATGCCTCTCAGCACGCCCGTGTCCTGTAGTTTCTCCTGTTTAAAAAACACAGACTTGTCCCCGCTCTGGACTCTTCTCTAGATATCATCCCATTCCTCGGCCTCTCTTCACAACGAAACTCCTTATGAGAGTTCTCTGTCCTCTCCTCCCAGTCACTCTGGCTCATGAGGAATTCCACGTTGCTAAGTCCCACGTTCAGTGCTCAGTGCTCACCTTGCTTGACCTGTCAGCACATTTAACAGGGTTGGGATGCTGCCCTTGAAGCACTGTCTTTCCTCAGCTTCAAGAATACCATTGTCTCGATTTTCCTCCCATCTCACTGGCTCCTCCTCCATCTCCGCTGGTGCGGTTTTCCGCGCCTCCTAACTTCCACAGGTTGGCTGCAGCGCCCTCATGGTTCAGGCCTGTGTTTTTCTTCCCCATCTCTGGTTCCAGGTGCTAATCACTTCCTACATGGTGGTAAATCCCAAAATGTTAGCTCCAGCCTGGAACTCAGTCTCACATGGCCAGTTGCCTATTTGACATCTCCACTTAAGAGGCTGGTAAGTCCCTTCACCCTCAACATATCCAAAACCAAATTTGTGTCTTCACCCACCCCCCGCCCGAAACTGCCCCTCCTACGGTCTTCTCAGTAAATGACAGATCTGGAGTCTTCCTTGGCTCCTTGTCCTCTCCTTCCCTTCACGGGATCCACCAGTCAAGCCCGTCAGTCCCACCTTCCGAGTATTGCCAGCAGCCAGCTTCTTCCACCCTCACTGCTCCTGTGCACTGATCGGTACAGCAGCACCCTAACTGGTCTCCTTACTGTCGCCTCGCCCCGGAAGACGCTTCTCGACACTGTAGCTCTCATGACCCTGTTAAGGCATATGCTTCCCGTCTCAGAGTAAAAGCCTTCCAGAGGCCTCCAAGGCCCCCTACCTTCTGGCTTTTCTTACCTGTCTGACTCATGTCCCCCTTCTAACTCAGTGCCAGCCACACTGGCTTCCTTGCTGAGTCCCCAGAACACTAGCAGGCTCCGACCTGGGGGCCTTTGTCATAGCTCTTTCCATGCTAGGATTCTTTCTCCCTAGACATCCTCATGCTTATTCCTTCACCTCCTTCAAGTTTCTGCTCACGTGTCGCCTTACCAGGAGACCTTCTCTGATGACTGTATTTAAAATTGTGACCCTCTGGCACTACGGTTTGTCTCTGCTTTTTTTCTTCCTTTACCAGATTTATTAGCACCTGTCATCTCAAACATATGTTTATTTATTGCCTTCTTCCCCACTGGAATGTGAGTTCAGTGAAGACAGGAACTTTGTTTTGCTCTAAAGCAAAGTGCTGAGAAAAGCACCGAATAGATGAAATGGATGATTGTTACAGATGGATTCTGACATTAGGGAGCATGTGGAGTTCTATAACATTTACATTCCCTTCCAACTTTAAGGTTCTATGATTGTGCATCATTGTGGCCAAGTCTGGGGACTGTGGATTCCCTTCCATAAAATGAGTAGAGCAGCCCTGGCTGGTGTGGCTCAGCGGACTGAGTGCTGGCCTGAAAGGTTGCCTGTTCGATTCCCAGTCAGGGACAACCGATCAGTGTTTCTCTCTCTCTTTCTCCTTCCTCTCTCTCTGAAAATAAGTAAATACAATATTTAAAATTATAAAAACATGCCCTGGCTGGTGTGGTTCATTGGATTGAGCATGGGCCTGTGAAGCAAAGGGTCGCTGGTTTGATTCCCAGTCGGAGCACATGCCTGGGTTGCAGGCCAGGTCCCCAGTGGGGGACACATGAGAGGCAACCACACATTGATGTTTCTCTCCCACTCTTTCTCCTTCCCTTCCCCTGACTCTAAAAATAAATAAAATATTTAAAAATAAAATAAAATCATAAAAACAAATTCCATTTTAAAAAATGAGTAGAGCAGCCCTAGCTGGTATGGCTCAGTGGATTCAGCTCTGACCTGCAACCCAAAAGGTCACCAGTTCAATTCCCTGTCAGGGCACACTCCTGGGTTGTGGGCCAGGCCCCTAGGCGGGGGCGTGTTAGAGGCAGCCAACTGAAGTCTCTTGCATATTGATGTTTCTCTCCCTCTCTTTCTTCCTGTCTCTCTAAAAATAAATAAGTAAAATCTAAAAACAAAACAAAACAGTAAAGTGGGCAGAGCACCTCCGTCACAGCTGGGGTGTGCGTGGTGAATCCATCCACTCACCCCGGCCCCTGATGGAGACCAGCACCGAGTGTGGCAGCGTGCGAGCAGCAAACATGCACAAGGTCCGTGTCGGGCGGCACCCGCTCGTCGCGTTCCTGGCTCTCGGTGAAGCCACGTTCCACTGTATTCCTGGTGCCAGATTAAAGATGGAAGAAAAAGATGAGACACACGATTCTATCCATCTATCCATCTAGTCAACCAGCGATTCTTCCAAAACGTATTATATACCTTCTAGGAGAACAGAAAAGAAAAAAATCCCTTTAAGATAGGAAGAAACTTCTGTAATCTCAAATAATTTGTCTCTTCTTGAAATAGAATTCTTTAATTTTAGAAGTTTTCCAAGTTATGTAAAGGTCAAGAAAATAATGTAATGGAAGCCAAGCTACCTACCCGTCACCAGCTTCCTTAATTTCGGTTTTGGCAATCTGCTGTTTCATCTCCACTACCACCACTTTTCTAAAGTAGTATTTTAAGCAGATCCATGCCCATTCAAATCATTATGTTTATGCCTTGTACAGTGCTATTGCCAGTTACATCTCAGCAAAATTGGGAAAGGAGCTTTAGATCCTCTTTTGCTTTTTGAGTCAAAAGGGGAGAAAAAGCAGGTGGTTGAGAGAAATAACAGTTCTGTCTGTTCATCCAGCAGATTAAAGAACTTGGAAAGAAATATTCAGCCTGAGCATGGCCTACAAACCAAAGGGTCAGTTCCCAGTCAGGGCACATGCCTGGGCTGCAGGCCGGGTCTCCAGTAGGGGGCACAACATGAGAGGCAACCACACATTGATGTTCCCCTCCCTCTCTTTCTCCCTCCCTTCCCTCTCTCTGAAAATAAATAAACAAAACCTCTTTACAAAAAATACTCAAATAAGAGCAGTTTATAAGGACGTGAATGACTCCAAGGCTCCGTAAGGAGGTCTCAGAAACTCTTTGGTCTACAGGCCATGGTAATTTTAAATCATAAACTCCAACACCTTCAGGGTAGACTGCAAGGCTGTTGTAATTCAGCCCTGGATGCCACTCTCCTGTGGAGAGGGCCCAGGAACTGGCGAGCAATCCAGCGAACATCCCTGGAACAACCCTGCAGGAGTTTCTACCAGCTATGTTATGCTGCCTGGTACCAGACAGTGTTTTGGATTCAGTGTCAACAGTCCATGACTTTCCAGTGTGGTTTGAAGTTAAGCAGATCTTGGGGAGCAGCAGAGCCCCTGGGGTTAGATTCTAAGGCGTGGTAACTCTAGGCCAGTTTGCCAGGTTTGTAGCACCTCGGAGTGGCAGGAGTTGATGGGTCATACTAGTCTGTTTGTGTAATAGTTTTCCATCGGTGGAAATAGTTCTCCACCACTTCCACAGCAGTCCTAAGGCTTGACACATGCAGCTGCCAGTTATCTCCGGATCAAATAAATTCTCACTGCAGAGCAGTGATTCAGCCTGCCTTCTGTTATTCTATAGCTTGTAAGCCAGTAATGGTTTTTATATTTTCAGATGGTTGAAAACAATCAAAAGAATAAGGTTTCATCACACGAAAATGAAATGAAATTCAGATTTCAGTGTCCATAAATAAAGTTCTGTTGTAAGAAGCCACATCCACTTGTTTGTATACAAGGGTGGGCAAAAGTAGGTTTACAGTTGTAATACAAATAAATAATGCAATAATTGATAATAATACAAGTATAAACTCTGTGTTTTGCACACTCACAACTGTAAATCTACTTTTGCTCATCTTAGTTTTTTTTTAATAGTAGCTTGCTTTTTTTTTCATTTTTAAATTTTTCTTATTTATTTCATCCACCCTGTATTTTGTGGTTGCTTTCACATCATGACGGCAAAGTTTCAATGGTTGTGAAAGAGCTTGTGTGGGCCACAAAACCAAAAATATTTACTACCTGACCCCTTACAGGAGAAGATTTCTTTAGAGCATTAAACGGTTCTCTAGGAGTTTGAAAGAGGGCAGCTCGTAAAAGTGCCAAAGTTATTCCCAGGGCAGATGACACCGAGAAGACCTGAGGGAAGTGACGAAGAACTAAAACCTGAGGCCTGGTAGAAGGGAGGGAACAGAGTGTCTTCCACCTTGTAGGCCAGGAAATAACAGCCTTTTGATAGATACAAATACCTCATTTTTTGCAAGGTATATTCATATGATTACTAAGCCCCATTTACACTGTTGTTACAGGTTTTGTGTTTAAATGCAACATAATTTAAACAAAGTAACTTCGTCATCATTCCCACACCCAAAGTGCAAGATACCAAGTGAGGTCTCAAACAGCTGTTCCATGTAGCCTTTCCAGAGTGTCCCCTCACACTTGAGCAGCCAGACTACTGGGCACGCATAATTGAAAACCACACGTTATCCAGAAACCTCATGTATTAGTTTCAACCTCCTTTTAGACTTTCGCTCAACATTTGTTTAAAAAGCCGCTCATTTTAGTGTCATCTCTTCATCTCTTTCTCTGCCTGTCCCTCTGGTGAAGAAATACATGGGAGCAATAAAGTGGCCAAAAGGTGGCAGCAGGAGGGAGGAGGACCAGCGGCAGGAGAAACAAAGAGCCCTCCCTTCACTGGCTGCACACAGTCTCTGGGTAATCCTGAGCTAGCGAGCGGGCTGAACTTGCGTCAGAAAAAAACCCTCTTCTCTAGGTCTTCCTCCCACAACCGAATAACGATTTCAAAGCAGTTTCCAGGGAAGCGTGGATTGGCTCTGCTTAAAGCATCATTCCCAGTGCCATGGATAACTGTATTTTAGAACAGGTTTGTGAAACTTGATCGTTGAAGGCCCATAATGTTTTAAGGTCAGTCAGAAGCACTATAGATATTTCACTTTATCTCATACTTTCCGACTATTTTTATTGGTTATTCATTTATGAATCTTGATTTTTGAAGGTCCATAATGTTTTTAGATCAGTCAGAAGCACTATAAATGTTTCATTTTATCTGATATTTTGAGTATTTTTTATTATTTATTTAGTTCTGCATTTAAAAATTGATTAGATTAACAGCTATATTATTTTTTTTAAAAGATGAGGCTATCCTTATCTTTATCTGTTGACCAGAATTAAACAGATACTGGGCGGCATGGGTGGGGGTGAGAAGCAACCCAGACAAGTTTACGTCATTGAAGAACAGCAAATTGGTGTGTCAGCAGATGACCTGGTACTTATGGCTCTTTCATTTGGCCCCTGATCCATGGGGCAGTTATTTCATAGGCTTCTTCCTGGAATTATTGTGTAGTAATTGTCCAATTTTATAAAAATTATGCTAAGTGATAGGAAGAATATAGTTTAGGAAAACCTTCCTTTTGAATATTTTAATGGAAGCATTCCTGTGAAATTTTATGTCCAAGCAGTAATTAGCAAGTAATTTGGCAAGTAATTAGAAATAAAAGTTAAAACTTTCTTCTCATTGATCTTCAGCCACTGAATTCTCTGGTATCATCTCTCTTGTCATTAAAACCCTTCCCATGGCTCATTTTCCTCCCCCAACTGCTTTTCATCACATCAAACATGGATTTCTTAACTGTGTGTCTGTGTTTTCAGCCTTGTCTCAGCCTCTTCTTTTCTGCCCTAAACTAGTTACTCATAGCCTTTGCTCGCAAGCACATTTTTTCCTGCTTTGTAATTCCTTTCTTACCCAGAGACCTGCACACAGCCTCTGGGAAGCCCTCTGAGCCCAAAACACCCTCCCAGTGATCACACCTGACCCTCTTCCCTCTCACATTTTGGACTGTTACCTGTCTGCAGATAATCCTAATCCACTGTGGAGGCTCAGATAATTCTCATTAGGTCTTTTAAATTGAGGTTCACGCTCCCGTTACATTTCTTCTTTCTGTGTCTGTGTTTACACCATTTCTCCTACTTGAAAAATATGAGCCTCACTGGTGCAAAACGGTGCGGAATTCTGGGTGTCTGTGCTGTGCGGAGCCCATTACTGCATTTACTGACCCTGGGTCCAGAGTAATATTAACAACAATAATAATAAGGCTGCAAAAGAGAAAACACTGAGATCAAACACATCCATCCTCCTTCCTTTATGATTCTCCATGGAAGAAACACAGGTAGAAACAGGATCTTCTTCAGAGGAAAGGCTGAGCTTGGTTCCTGGTGTATTTGGCACCAGTGATTGATTCTAAATGAGGTACATTAAGCAAAGGAATTTTAATCGTTTTCTTTCAAAGGAAACAAGTTTTCAAGTAGCACAGAATTTGACCTGCATACGGAAATGTCTGTGCATTATAGTATATAAGTTCATGTCACTTAAGGCATGTAAAAATAAGAGTTGATTGCTTTTTGTTGTTTTTAAATGAATACAGCAAGGCCCTGAATAATGTCATTTTGTTCACATTGTTTGATTGTAACATTGAGATGCTGTGGGAACTTCACTCATGTCAGTTAGCCTGTGGTAAAACTGGCTTTGTTATTTGTGGTTTCACTTAAAATTACAGAATCTATCAGTGACATTAAATGAGGACTTATTGTATGCTCTTTTATTATTATTTTTTTAAATAGAACGGTTTCTTTTTTTTTAAGATTTTATTTATTTATTTTTAGAGGGGAAGGGAAGGAGATAGGGAAAGAAATTTCAATGTGTGGTTGCCTCTCGTGTGTCCGCTTCTGGGAACTGGCCTGCAACCCAGGCACGTGCCCTGACTGGGAATCGAACCGCAATACTCTGGTTCACAGGCCCGCGCTCAATCCACTGAGCTTCACCAGCCAGGGTTTGTATGCTCTTTTAAAATGGCATTTAAAGGCCCTGGCCAGGTAGCTCAGTTGGTTAGAGCATCATCCCAATACACCAAGGTTGCAGGTTTGATCCCCAGTCAGAGCACATATAAGAATCAACCCATGAGCAGGAACAAGTATAAAGGACACATGGACTAAAGGGGGGTGGTGGGGGGGGTGGGGAGGGGGGGGGGGGCGTGGGGTGGGTTGGGATGGGGGTAAAAGGCAGAAAATTGTACTTGAATAACAAAAATTTTTTTAAAGTAAAGAAAAATAAATAAAAAGAAACTTAAACTAATACCAAAAAAAAAAAAGAATCAACCCATGAATGCATAAATAAGCGGAACAGCAAATCAGTGTGTGTGTGTATGTGTCTCCCTCTTTCTCTTTAAAATCAATAAAATTTTAATAAATAAAAGAATGTTTTCATTGTACCATTAATCTAATAACAGTTCTAAATTTTTTAAAGGAAGTTAGAAAATTTGATAACTTTTAAGATTAGCAACTGGGAAAACATTTAATATATCATTTAATTTTTTAAAATACTACAAAATTATATATGATTTTCTTTTTAAAGTTTCATATGAAGAATTAAAAGAGAACTTTCATAAGAAATTAAAATAATGTGTTTGGGTTCTGTAACGATAGATGACTTTCTTTTTTGGTCTTCCCATATTTTCTTTATTGTTATAGGATGTTGTTTGTGCAACAAATAAAATTCAGTGAGCCCTGGCCCCATAGCTCCACTGGTTAGAGCGTCGTATAAGTGGAACAACAAATTGATGTTTGTCTGTCTCTCCCTTTCTCTATCTAAAATCAATAAAAATTAAAAGTTTAAAAATTCAGCAATGGGAGGGAAAGCTTCAGACTTATAATTTACGGTGCATCTCAAGACTTCTCTTCCTCTGGTGAAGACCAAGCATGCTGTTTCTGTTCCCGGTACCTGCTCCTAACCTCCGAGCAGCCTGTGCGGGTAGGAAGGGACAGAGATCACTGGGGCTCCTGCCTCAGCGCATGAAGTCAGCGCATCGTTAATACTGCAAATGACGCTTTCGCAGTAATGATGTCCAAAAGATCTGTAGATGTCTCAAAGCACCGTCCATTCCAAACATCTTAGGATGCAGTACTAGCAGAGTGTTTAAGAGCAACCGTAGCCCTGGCTGTGTGGCTCAGTGGACTGGGCACCAGCCTGCCAACAGAATGGTCACAGGTTCAATACCCAATCAGGGCACATGCCTGGGTTTTGGGCCAATGTTTCTCCCCCTCTCTCTAAAAATAAATAAACATAATATTTTTTTAAAAAAAGGAGTGACTCTGGAGTTTACTGTGAGGTGCACTTGAGTTTGAATCCCAGTTTTGTCAAGTACCTGATATAACTGGAGCAAGTTATTTAACATCTTTGAGTTTATGTTTATTTATGTATAACATGGGAAAATAATGAAGTTGTCTCACACAGTTGTAACCAGGATTAATATGGTAAATCTTGCAAGAATGTTTAATGAATGCCCCGTAAATGAAGCTATTTTCATCCTGCTTGACTCTACTGACTCTTTACTTTGGAGCTTTGCTGGAGGTATTTTGGGGCACCTCCCATTTAATTGATTAATTAATTATTTGGTTATTTTGCATACAGTTGAGGTAAGAGTCACCAGCTCAATTTCTGTATGCTGCGCGCCTGTGAAATTGGCTGACAGGATCATCTGCTCCCTCCACAGAAGGTGCTGTGTCTTTCCCGTAGCTGCTCACTGACATAACCCTCTCCTCCATTGCAGATATATGTCATTGACAGCGCAGACAGAAAAAGATTTGAAGAGACGGGCCAGGTAAATGATTCTTCTGTTGAGCTATTTCACAAATAACTGGGTATTCATTAATCTGCCTGGTAAATGTATGAGAGAGAGAGGGTTTTTTTGTTTATTTTTTTATTTTGTTTTTTGTTCAATCTTTGCAGTTTAAACAAGACAGTCATTCCGGCAAGCAGGCAGAATTACCAGTTGCCTAAAAAGAAATTAGTTCAGAATTCTTTAAACAGTTTTTTTTTGAGTAAAGCCTTTTAGTTTAAATCAAATCGAATAAACAAGGTATAAGCAAATGGGACTTACCACCATGCCCAAGCTCTTCAGGTTTCTTCCCAGGCCATGTAGGAATGAACCTAGAGGAACAATTCACTTATTATTTCTATATATGTTTTTCAATGACAGCCTAGTTGATCCAAGGGCAACGTTAACAAATTCAAAGGGATGGGAGGAAATGTGCAAGCCAAGACTAAGCTGCTTTTGTTGCCAAGCCAAGAGATAGGTATACTTTGAACCCAAATATGGCTTCAACTGCAGAGTCCATGTCAACATGATTACACAGGGCCGTTTGTGTGCACAGTTTCAAATAGAGAAGCAGTGGGTCGACCGCTGACTGAGTACGCTGATAAGAAGGAAGGAGTAGAGTGGCCTCTTTGGAGAAGCATGATTACACTTTACGGTGGAGTCCTTGGCTTGTGTCCTAAGCTACCACAAGTAGCCTTCCAAATGTAGCAGTCCCCATGTTTATGTTCCTTTTTCCTGGAAATTAGTTGAGAACTCTCCAGACTCTTGGAGAAAACCCCATACACCTTGATGATTTCTGGATCATCACTCCCGTGAACTAATGCTAAACATGAGCTTGAAGGTGAAGGGTGTCAGGTAACTTTCTGCCTCTTGAGCCCTCCGGTTCTCTCTGACGGCCCAGGTGTCTTAAGTAGACTTAAAATGTGGATTTAATGGGGAGAGCTGGGTCCTTGTATTTAGGTAAGTATACACCCTCTCCTATACTGACTGCAAACAGAATCAACATTCAGTTTAGACCCCAACCAATAGCCTAAAAATCAGAGACCATGCCAGATGGACTAACACAGGTATTTTAGAATACAGGTTGGATGAAGTATAATGCATGTGCATGTTTTGGAGACAAAGATTGATAAAGTAGAATTTATAGCCTTTAAAGTAATTGTCATTTTCAGTTTATATTTTAAGATATGTGTGTATATACATATATTCATTGAAAGTTATTTGCAGATAACAACCTTTGTTAAGTTTTAAGTTTCTCACCACAACTTGTATTCTGCCTTGAACAGTGTTTCTCAAAGTGCCCTCTGTGAATCCCTATAGCAGAACTACTGCAGGGGAGCTGGTTAAAAATGCAAATGCCTGGGCCCTGCTCAGACTTCCCAAAGTCGGTGTCTCAGGGAAGGCCCAGCACTCTGCCAGGGGGTTCTTCCTCAGTCTCAGGTTTCAGAACCACTGCTCTGGAAAGTTGCTAATAGATCAGCGGAACTGTTTTGTTTTTTTCTCATTAGAAGTGAATGGTTAAATATCATAGCTTTTGTCCTTTCCTCCCCATCCATTCTCAAAATGATCCAGGAACTAGCTGAATTACTGGAGGAAGAAAAGCTAAATTGTGTTCCAGTGCTCATCTTTGCTAATAAGCAGGATTTGCTCACAGCGGCCCCTGCCTCTGAAATTGCAGAAGGACTGAACCTGCACACCATCCGAGACCGAGTCTGGCAGATCCAGTCTTGCTCAGCTCTCACAGGAGAGGGCGTTCAGGTGAGATGACCGGGAGGCTTGGTCACGTGGCCACACAGCAGCCAACCAAAGTAGTCTGTCTCATTGGTTGGACTCAGGTAGGAGGGACATGAAACAAATAACCTTTGATGGCCAGAGGAGCAATCCAGGGTGTGAAGGGCATGGAGAGTTTAGTTCTTTTCACTTAAAACCAAACATGATACATTAACTATTTTAGGAAAGACAAACCACCCCACACAAGCGCCCACCATCCAGTGGGTTTTACCCAGTTAGATAGGAGGTCGGAACAGAAGACAGAGGATGCTGCTAACTCTGGGATTCTTTGCTGATTAGGGTTGGAGTTGTATCTCATACTGTGGATGCTAAATACATGTACTCCCAAAGTAATAGCCAGCAGCAATTATGCACACTAGTTACCCCATAGAAGTGTTTTGTTTTTGCCTGTCGGCCATCTCCACTGTTTTCAGAGTTGGTGTCTGTTTCCTGCTACTTCTGTTTGGTTTCCCACTGGGAGACTACTGCTGACAATGAGCCCCACATTTTAAACTGAGGAACTATATATGAAGGAAGAGCAGGCTCCCCTTCATTTGATGTTATTTAGGGCAGAAAACAGTTGTGCATCTGAGACAACTGGGAGGCTCTGTCCTCAAAGAATGATAGACAGGATGCGTCCTTCCAAGCAGACGCAAACCAGATGACACCTGGAGCAGCCCCCCAGGACTGCTTCGCCACTCCGAAGCCCCCAGCGTGCTCCACGCACCTCACCCAACACCTGGTGGACCTGCCAGGGAAGCAACACGGTGCCCTGAGAATCGGACAGTGCTGGGCTAGGCTGCTGCAGGGCATTAACAGCATCTAGAAAAGCGGTATCTTCCCTCGTTGCCAGATGGCATGTGTCTGCAGTGGCATGACCAGTCAGCTTTTCTTGGAACTCAGAGTGTTGGGGTACGAGCCTGCCGTTTGATTCTCAACCATTGTCCTGCCGCCTCTTTCCGCTTCCTTTCTAATACTCTCTTTCCCTCTCTCCGAAGATATTTGACATTGATTTGTCTTACCGCTCTGCCTGACTGCTTTTATTTCAAGAAAAATAGTCACGTTCTAGATTTATCTCACTTGTTCCATCTGTGTGCTGCTTGGTTTTTCTCTTTTTGTTACACAAACAATCAGGGCCTATTTCCGTGCTTGGCCTTTAGATCTGAGAGCAGACCGTCAGCATGAGACAAGCACCCCTCCTCGACAGTCCTCAGTACCTGCATCCCCGACGTTCTCTGTGCAGGCGTGTGTGGTGGGGGCTCTGACACCCCCCAGGGTGGATGCTTGAGCTCTGTGGGCCTCTCTGTGAGGTTCAGGTTCAGGTTCAGGGAGGGGGCAGGTGTTATTCATTCCTTCCTTCCTTTCTCCCTTCCTTCCTAAACTCTGGTTATAAAAGTAATATATTTTCCTTGTTAATCATATAAAAGTATATAAAATTCAAAACTATAAAGTTTGTTCTTCTCCCCCTGATCCCACTTGACAAAGGAACTAAGTATCATTAGTAGTTTCATTCTTCTTAAGTCTCCTCTATAAAATTATAATCTATGATTATAGATCTATTAGGTTTCAAATTAATTGCATTTTTCAGCTTAATTTAGGCTGGTCAAACAAGTATATTACAACCCAGGATGTTTTTGAATAGGTAAAATAATCATTTTATTTAGCTTCTCACTTTTTAAAAAGACATCAGCCCTGGCTGGTGTAGCTCAGTGGATTGAGCGTAGGCCTGCGAACCAAAGGATGGCGGTTAGATTCCCAGTCAGGGCACATGCCTGGGTTGCAGGCCAGTTCCCAGCAGGGAATGCATGAGAGGCAACCATAATAAGTTGATATGTCTGTCCCTCTCTCCTTCTCTTACCCTCTAAAGATAAATAAATAAAATCTTTTTAAAAATCTTTTTAAAAAATCAAATTTTGTCTTCAGTATTTCCCTTGATTGTGCATAAGGTGGCCTTCCTGAGGCCTGAGGTTAGTATAGTGCCGATGGAGCCTTCCGGGGTTTGTACAAACTGCTTCAGTGACAGAACCTGCCTGACTCCATGGTTTAGAACACACATGTAGACAGTTGAGAGCATCTCGAGTTTGGGGGTTCTAAACTCGAGGTGGGACTAAAGAAAATAAACACATTTTGTGTGCCTACTTCGAAGTAGGAATCAGCAGCTCTGTAATCTTTTTTCACATGGCCTGAGTGTTGAAAGGAAGGAAAAGCAAAGCTGGAACTAACAGTGAGGTTCTTGTTCCTTCAGCCAGCCTCAGGGATTGAAAAGCAGGGACTAGAGTTATCTAAAATCAGTTGTGGCATTTGAGTCCAGAGTGCTTCTTCCCCTTCCTCTTCCCTGGAGCCCGGAGGTTGGGAGGGAGCACTAGTCTTTGTCTTCCTAGCCCCCACCCTGCCCTGTCCAATCAGGGGGAGGTCACGGAGATCCAGCTCTTTTCCCTTTCAGTCACGGGATCTTTACACTAAAAAAGAGGCAGCGAGCTGTTGGACAGTCACAGTGTCGGAGAGGGCTTTAAAACGAGTCAGTTTAAATCAAGGGAGACAGCCGTGTATGCTTTGACTTTGTTGAATTTCTTAGATCAGGGACATTCAGCAACCGGATTTACGGAAATTTTGTCAAGAGAGATCTAACAAAGAACTGTGAGCAAAAAAAAAAAAAAGGAATGATTTTATGTGGAGGAGAAATAGTTTGAAGGTCACTTAATTAGTTTAGTAGATAGTACCATGGTGTATAGAATTGGGTAGTTAAGACTGGGATTTCAAGGTTAATGAGATTAGATAATGGTTAATAGAATGATATAAATTTAGAGAATTTAACTATTATTTGAAATGAGTTATTTAATAAAAATGTTAATTAAGAAGGGAATCTGCTGTCTATTGTCCTTTAATGGTAACCTTTGGGGACTGAAGAAAGGTCACGGAGTTTCCGTGGAAACACTTCCTTGTGAGGCACTGATTGACCCCGTCCCTCTTTCAGGTAATACTTCAGACCTAAGCTCTTGCCCACTCAGCCAGTGTCTTGGTTTTCACTTTCAAGAGTCACTTAGGAGGAATTGTTTTTCTGCATTGCCTAGCTCACTTTAGCAGGCCTTTAGTGATTCTTATTAAGGTTGTAAGTGTTCCTAAAAATGAAAGACTTCACTAGAAAAATGTCCATAAGATCACTTTCAGACATGGATACTATATAATAATTACTAAAATTCCCTAAATTCTTATTTTGTCCCTCTCTGCCCTCCCCACCCACTGCCCTGTGACAGCCAGTCAGTGATGGGCAAAGCTGCTAAAATGACCAGGCATTAAATAGGTCAAGTACATCTGCCACCACAGCTCTAATGATCCTGAAAGAAAAAATGTGCAAAGGCTAAAAAAATTAAAAAGACCTGGATTTTCTGTTACAGGTTTAGGTATTGGAGGTCAGTGTCTCTATTTATGTTGTGTTTGTTGTGTATGCGTTTAATTTAATCAGAATGTTTGAGAGACCCGTCTTGCCCTACCAACTAACGCCTTCCAGTGAGTGAGGCTGGGCAGTGGTGGCAGACCAGCTGGGCAGTGAGCTCCGCCTTCCAGACCCATTGGGCAGGTGCCTCGCTTCCCCTGAGGGGCTTCAACAGGTGCTGGAAGGTTGTGGAAGTTAGGGACTACCAGGATGGATTTCAGATTCTTGTTCTGCTGGAAAATGTGTGCCGTCTTTACAAGGACAGGCAGTCCCGTGTGTTGTTCAACAGCCCCTGTTTTGGGTGTGGAAACTGACTTTTGAGGGCTTCCAGAGAGTTCTTTGCCTGATTGGTGGTGACCAGGAGGCCAGCCCACCGTGTAATTAAAGCAGGCTTTCATGGGAAACTGTCCAGAGCAGAGTGTAGGCGAAGGACACCAGAAGCTGAAGGAGAGCGTCAGTCTTGGAAACCCTGGCCAGCTGCGAGGCCCAGAGTCCAGAGGAGCAATCAGAAGAGACCCAATTATGTCAAGTAGAGGGAGGCAAAAAGAGGAGAAACTGAAAAATGTCTGGATGGGAGAACCTGCAGCCCTGCAGCCAGACTGCCTCGCAGCCGTGGCGGCTGCCTCCCTCTGCAACCTGGGGCTGGGCCAGGGTTGGCGGGGCCTCTCCCGGTGTATCACAGCCAGCCCCAGGGCTCTCTCGTCTGCTTTTCTGGGGGTTTCTAGAAAATAGTGAGCAAAGGATCTGGCTTATATCTATTCCACCTACAGACCTGAATTTGAACCCCAGACCACAGCTGTCCTTTGCTGTTGTAGTGTCAGATGTTTGAAGACATTTTCTCTCTAAAACATCATGTGCGCATGTGTGTGTTTAATTAAAATTGTACTGTAATAGAATTCCCTCTAGTTGCAGAGATCAGTAGTTTTAACTTGGTCTCTAGCCTTAGTCATAACAGAGACTTGCCTACACCAGTAGCTTTGCACTAGCAGAAAGTTCTCCCAGGTACTCCTCTCCACGCCCCCACCCCATGCTCACCTTTTCTTTTCACATCCCTCCCACGTTCCCTGTCTTCCTTCTCGAAATAGGAGCAATAGTCCAGCTGAAGTAGACTCACTAGCAGCGGGAGCCCTGGTGTGCGAGCTGGGCGTCAGAGTGCCTTGCCGATGAACACTGAACATTTGCTGCTCTGGCCTCTTGTATTTGTTCCTTTTCCTTGGTGTAGGGGACTTTTCCCTTAATATACCAACAGAACTTCGGTATTTTTAAAAATGACATTTACCACTTCTTTCTAGGCCTGGCATCAGTTATTTTTGACTCCAAGTGTACATGGAACTGCTTATCTGCAAGTCAGACCTCGGGTTTATTTTTAAATTTTCAAACCTCTCTATAGACTAAGAAAGCAAGCTCTGGGACACGTGGTTTTGCTACCTCTCTGGTACAGTGCCCTTTGTCACCAGAAAGAGATATTAATAGCAAGCAATATTTTATGTATGCTGCATCCAGCTGCTCCTTGACCCTGGGGGCCCAGTGGCACAATGGTATAGGCTGCGTGGGCCTGAGCTACTCCCCGTCTTAAAGCAGTCACTGATGTGACAGTCACCAATGTGACGTGTGGGCCTCGTGGCATTGAAACCCAGGCCTACCCAGCCATGGCGGCCACTGCTTCCTTCCCACTGGTGAGCAGAGATTCATGCCTCGTGGAGTGATCAAATTCAAAGGAGCAGTGCCGTCAGAGCCCACTTTTCCCACAGAAAGGAGCGTCGTGCCTTTAATCCTGGTCCACTGAGACCTGTGATGAGTAGGTTCCCACCCCCCACGGTTGGGACAGCCTTCCGTGTTTCCCGGTGGTCATACCAGGGGTGATGTCATGACATGGCAAAATTTGTTTCCTCTCCACGAGGCCAGACAAAGCTCAGTGTTTGAGGTCCAGTGTCTCTCTTTAGTCTCCATTGAATTAAAGCCAATCAATTTAAATTCCATCTCAGCAAGGTTGGTGCGGGGAGGTGTGGAGGGAGGAAGGGGAGGGCTGCTCAGGCTTTAAAATCGCCATCCCCGTGACGAAGATCAGACGGGCAGAAATTTGGTCAGACCAGTTTTTAACAATAAAGGTTCAACCATTAAACAAACCTATGAGTTCATTTCCTTCTTTGGAGGCAGAGCAGTCACCTTTCAAGTAACTGATCACCTTTTCTCAGTTGTCTGTTTTACAAAAACAAAGCCTTGCCAAATTAAGGCAAAAATGATATAGAGCACTAATTTAAACATGAGGAGCAGAAGGCTCCACCGCTTGCTATGATGTCTCTTACAAGTAGAGTTTTCACTGGAGGTGGGAGTCTTGGTGGAGGTTAATATGCCAGGACTTGCAGCGAGGCAGCTATGCAGCTTCCACATACAGAGACACCTGGCAGCCCAGGAATCTTGAGTTGAGTGGCCAACAACAGTCTCTGGCACCTTCAGAGCTGCAGCCATCTACACGGCAGCTTGGCCTGGGGCCACCCCAGTCTCATGACCCTACTGTCATTTGGGAGTCCTGAGGAAGAAACTACTGGAATTGCTTCTCTCTAAGCTTCGGGCAGAGCTCCTCCCTCCAGCACCTCCCCACATTCACTGAGGAGTGGTCATTGGAAGAGCTAGACTGCGTGGGCTCATAGCCCACCTCTGCCACACACCGCTCTGTGCTCCTGTGTCTTCATGTGGAAATTATAGTACCTACTTCACAGGGTTGTTACAAGGATTAATTAAATAGATACAGCCCTGGCTGGTGTGACTCGGTTGGATATCATCCCATAGACCGAAAGGTCACAGGTTCGATTCCCAGTCAGAGTACCTACCCAGGTTACAGGTTTCATCCCCCGTGGAGGTGTGTAGGAGAAGGCAACCAGTCCATGTTTCTCTCTCTCTTTCCTTCTCTCCTTCTCCCTCCCTCCCTTCCTCTCTCTTTTAAAAGCAATGGAAAAAAATGTCCTCAGGAGATGATAAAGAAATGTTTTTAAGATAAAAATTGTTTACTGTAAGGCAGACACCATGTTACTGTGGAAACAACTTCAAGCTAGCCTGACATGGACCCTCCCCTCAGGAATCTTGGACAGCACTATTATCTTTCCTTTCCCATGGGCAGCTTGGCCCAGCTTGTCCCCAAGTGATTGGAGAGGGATTATCCCCATCCCCATTGACTGTCGTCTCCCCCGACAGCCCCACCTCCAGCCGAGGTTCTCCTCCAGGTAACAACAGAAAAGGTCCAACTCCCCACCCCTAAACACTGCGGGGCAGAACAGCCACAGGGCTTGGCCCCTATTAAATCTCCCTATGCTTCTCACACACCTTCAAGATGCAAGCGGCAGCTGCAGAGTCTGGGGCTGGCAGGACAGCTGGTGGGTGCTGACCCCTGAGCGCCCTCTGTTGGCAGGACTGTGGCTAGGAGGGCTTTGCCACGGCTGGCCCTCACAGACATCTGGAGGACAGGGCTCCTCAGCAGGGCTCCCCCATTAAATCCCCTCTGCCTCCCTAACAGAGACCCAGGAGAAAGCTGCCCCTCACCCTCCACATTCTGCTTCGGGTCCCTGCAGCTGAGTAAATATTTTTCCTATCTCTTTGGCTGCATTCATGTTCAGTTAGTTACATATGATAAAAGAACCCCCCTCTGTAATCAGCCATAAAACAAGCGGGAAAAACAGTATTCATACAGTGTGGGAACACTGTTCCTGATTTCCCAGAGAAGCCGATTTGATAAAATATTGCAAGTCTCTACAGAGGAGAAAGCCCAGAGGTGCCCACCTTTCCCGGTGTCCGTCCCGGTTCCTGCAGCGGGAAAGTGCTACAGCAGCGCCGAGCCGTTCAGCTTAGAAGGCAGAGAGAGGCCCGTTATCATAGCCATCCCGCTTTTGTTTGTAAAATCTATTTTGTCTCCTGGCAGGTGATCATTTTTCCCCCTGGAAACCAATTAGTTACCAAAATTAAACATGCTTCTCTTTAAATTAATCCTTTTCATAAAATGGTCTTAAAATTGACCTCAGCTTTTTCAAGTCAGTGGCTGACCCAGTTGCACCTGGAGAGGTATTTGGAGGCCACCTTTCTCCCATCTCAGCGTTGCTCCCCCCTTGTCCCTGCTGCTACCAGGTGCTGCCCACCAGCCTCGGCACACGCCCAGAGGTCTGCTCCGGAATGGCCAGCAGATTCCCCAGTCCTCCTGCCCAAGTGTTCTGGTGGCAAGTGTTGGAGTTTTAATCACTGCCAATTCAGGTTATGGTCAGATGAGCCAGGAGATAGGATGCCTGCTGGTTGTTTTGCAGTGAAGCATTGTTTAGGGGATTAATGCTCCGAATGGCCAAGGGTGTCAGCTGATATTTATTATTCTAAGCTGGCTCAGCTGTTCAGGTTCAACCACTAGTCCGTGGTCAGAGGAAGTGCAGGGCTTTTCATGCCATGTATGCCCTGAGATGTGCAAATGTGCCTGGGACCTCAGTAAGCCTGTGTCACAGATGCAGGGGAAAGGAGTTTGTTGCAGGATCCTTCTCTGATTTTGTTCGGGGCGTCCAAGGGAACTCTGCACAAGCCTGAAGGTCAGAGAGACTCTAGGGAAAGGGAGAGCATTCAGGGGTGGCTCCAAGGGGGGGTTGAAAAGGAGGTCATCTCTGGCAGGCCTGGCATCCAGGAGGAATCATGCCACCTGCCAAGTGGCTGTAGGCATTGTGTGGTTTTTACCTCGCTTCCTCTCCAACCTTCTAAGAGAGGACACTTTCAAGGTCACTGTGCCTTTAAGGGGACCTTCTTCTCCCCAGTCCCTCTGCTTGCTAGCACTTAAAGCTACAAGAATCTGGCCAGGCCCTTTTAAACCTGCCTGCAGAGCTGCACGAAGAGAAATAAATGCACATTGCCTTAGTGTGTGTCTAGTAACACACACTGCACTTAGTTTGTTTTTCCAAAAAGAAATTTAATTTAACCCAAGTGTACACTGCCACACTGTAAACACACCGGGCAGCAGAAGGGCGGCTTATTGAATTTAATGCCCTAGCAAAGGTCAGCTTTTAGAAAAAGCCAAAAATGGCTGGAATCTTTCCTGATAGCTCCTCAATCAGGCCTTGGATCCAGGCAGATGTGTTTATTTTTTCAGAGGGAGTTCCTGAGGACCCATCTCAAGTTCACTGGGCACATCCCCTCCCATCTCTCTCCTGTGCCCTCAGAGGCCTCCCTCCTCCTCCCCAGGAGGTCACTGCCCCAGGTCACCCAGGTGGGCAAGGAAACTCCCTGTAGCTCGTGGCTGGGAAGGGAAGAGCCAGGCCCCTACTCCCTCCTCTCCTGGGCTTGAGTGTGAGGTGCCTTTCTTACAACTAACACTGCCTTTCTCTGCCCATTTCCCTCCAAGGATGGCATGAACTGGGTCTGCAAAAATGTCATTGCAAAGAAGAAATAAAATCTGGACGAATGGAAACGCAGGAGCTTCGGGAGCTGAATTCTGTCCTGAAAAACACTAATTTGCTGCTTTCTGACCAAATGTTTTTCCATTTGTGTACAGCCACAGCTGTTTGAAGAGGGAACGACACAGTTTAGAAAGAATCCCCATTCCAGCAGTAGATTTAACTGATCTCTGAGGTTCAGTGTCATTTTTCAAATAAAGGAATTATATTATTTCCTCTGCATAATTGAAATAGTATTAAGTGTCTCAAAGCACATGATTAGAAAATGAGATCTTTTAAATGAGCAAGAGATTGCATTGCAGTTCAGACAATTCCAGTGGGCTTTTTTTTTTCCTTTCAAAAAGAGAAAGAAAAAAAGAGGAAGAAGCAGCTTATGCTGCGTTCACTAATTTACTGACCTGTCCCTTACATTCTCTCCGTGGTTTTGAAAACCTACGCAGTGTTTGCTGGTGCTGGGCAGTGATTTTTACCATCAGCTGAGCCAGGGCTGCGTTCTGTCCGCAGGGAAGCTGCTGGGGGGAAGGGAAGGAAGAGCAGATGATTAAACCATCTTGTCATGAGGTAGGAGACTGTATGTAATCCTCACCCTTTGGAGACGGGGGAGAAAAATCCTTTCCTGCAAACAAGTCACCACATAAACATACCCCAGCCCCAGCCTCTCAGCCAGCCACACAGGGAAGCAAATTCTTAACGACTTTTGACTGTAATGACATCTGGAATGTAAGGAGAGGTGGGAGGTTTAATTCCAGAAAAATTACAAGGTCCTTAGAAAGCCCTCACACCGAGGGCTCAGGCCGGCGCGAACAGGCTTTCTCCAGTTCAGTGGAGCAGGGAGCAGCCGACTCTGAGACCAGCCGGCTTCTCCGCGTCCTGTAGAAGAGATTTCCAAAGCTCAGAGAAGTCTGTTTAAATGATCACAATAGGCCGCTGCTATCAGATTTTTAAAATAAATGCAGCCGGCCCGTGAACCTGCTGCACTGAGCAAAGGCAGGCAGATCGATTCTGCGAGATCAGTTTTTACAGTGCTGGCAACTTGGTGGTGTGGGCCGCCCGCGGGCGGCGGGGGTTTGTTGCTGGGAAGAGCACGTGTGATCACGGGAACCATTCCCAGGGAAGCCAGTCACCCCAGCTGCCGGTCCCCACTGCCTCTCTCCAGCAAAATGTGTCCTCTGTTGATTGATTGGAGAGGACTGGCAGGAGACTTCTCCTGCCCCATGTTGCAAAAAGAGCTTATTTCCCTGAGTTTTAAGAAATCCCCAGCTTCAAACATGAAAGCCGGCCAGAGCATCAGCCAGCTCCTGAATTGAACTCTGTTCTGGTGCCTGAGCTGAGGGGTTTTCAGAGAATGAATAAGAGACTGTCTCCAGGCTGGCTGGTGGGCCTGGGAGGCCAGGGCCTTCTGGCCTGGGGAAGTGGTGCTTCCCAAACCCACCCGGGAGTGTGAGCAGACCAGAGAGGCCGCTCCAGCCCCTCTGCACCCAGCTTTTCTGGATGGGGTTGTGCAGGTGAGGCTGCGCATGTCCAGCTTCAAAGGCGTTCTGGGGGAAAGTCATCAATGCAGGCACGAACAAGGGCACCGGGGTTGCTGCGGACAGACCTGTAAGGACTTGTAAAACAAAAGAAGGTGAGGTTTTCTTAAAACTGCTGAGCTAGCTGCTCCCTGCTACCTCCTCTTCTGGCTTCTCTGTCTTACCCAAGCGCCTCTCTCACTTTGAACAGTGGCAAACAGAATTACAAGAAACCGAAACCCCCACCCTGTCAGGCTGCGAATGTGGCTGGAGCACTTGACGATGCGTTTCCCTCCAGATGATGCCCGGATGCCGGCTGAGGGGCAAGACGCCTGCTCTGAGATACGCGATTTGGGAACGTGATACGGAACTTTGACTCTGGCAGTGCATGGTCAGTCTGTAAAACACTTATGTTCTCTTACCACCAACTTAGGGAACTAAGAGTCCTTAGTTTGAAAGAGTCCTTCCAAGGCCTTGGCCAGCAGGCAGAAGCCTCTTGCCCCGCTCTGATAACAGCCTCTGTGAATGTTCAGACTTGCTTTTCAGCTAAAGACACAGTGACATGGTGGGAGTCACAAGTTTTCATCTGCCCTTGAAGCCATGCTGAACCCCCCAGGGGGTTCATGGGGTAGATGAGAGAAGCCTGGAAAATGCAGACTTTGAAAGCTCCCATTTGTAAAAACAACATGCTTTTAAAGTCCCCTTTTTTCTCCCCTGTCACACTCCCACCCCCTGTGGCCATGACCAGAAGACAGATTTTGAAGCTGGAAATGGGATACCTGGTTTCCCATCCTCCCACCCCCAGCCTCACTCTGTGCATCCGAAGGTGGTGCGGGGGGAGGGTCGGCTGGGGGCTGGAGGGCAGGCAAGGCCTGGACAGGGGCCCCGGGCTGTGCACTCAAACCGGTTGTGAGAAAAACTCCCTCCCTCCCCTCCTCCCGACCTCCTCAGTGCGGCTCCTTCTGGCTGGATCCCGGGCCCAGTGCAGCACACCCTTTCCCCTTCACTCTCCCTTGGTTACTATGGAAACAAGGGTGTCATTGATGTGGGCTGAGCTGGGGAACATGTCGGCACACAGCTGAAAGTCAGCGATCGTGCCGGTGGGTAGAAATGTGCTGGGGTGAACGCAGTCCGCGCTCAGGAGGCTGCTGGAAGGACACAGTCCGGCCCCTCCCCTCCTCTCTCCACTTCTCTCTCTCCTGGCTTTGGACAAATTTCTGTATTCCCCTCTGGGCTAGAGCAGTGGCTATTTTTGTGCCATTCTGTGCCCCACCCTCACTGTCGGCTGCTCCTTATCCGGGCCTGGCCTGGAGGGGGACGCGGTGTCACCCTCTCCAGGACTTGTCCCTTAATTCCCTTCAGAGTTTGCTTTGATTTCTCCTTCCTTCTCAGGGGCCAGTTCTTACTTCCTTTTATTTTTAGCTCTGCACTCTGTGTGGTTTCAGGGTTCAGTCCGATCCATCGAAAGTTCTTTTTTTCCCTAGACCCTTTTGAAAACGATAATCAAAGAAATGGACATGGTATTTGGTCATGTGGAAAATTCAATGTATAATTTAGATGTCTGTCAAAAATCCAACAAATAAAACTTAGCTGAAATGAAGGCAGCCTGGAATGTGTTGTGTTCTTTGCTGAAGCTCAGAGAGGCCCCAAAATCTGTTTGTTATTTCAGAGGTTAACATTCCTCAAGGTGCTTTTTTTTCTTTTCAGAAGGATATCATGCTAACCCAATAACAAAAACAAAAAGAGCTTTTTTGTAAGCTCCTCCTCCACGCTAGGCACTTCACACACATCGAGGGCGGCGCCAGTCCCACTTGCAGCTGGGGAAACGGAGGCCCTGGCCTGGGTTGGGGGCTCAACCAAGATCACACAGCTGTTAGTGCAGGAGGGGCCTGGAGCCTGGGTCTGAATGCGACAGCCAGCAGCCACCTCTGGGGGAGGAGGACAGTGCCAGCCCATCTCCCAGTGGTCCGAGCCCCTAATCTTCCAAGCCCATACCCTGGTGTCCTCGGACCAGCACGGCTCCCCTGAGGTTTTCTGTCCCAGGTGTTGGGTGTCCGTGCTCCTCACAGTAGCACAGTCGTATATTTGTAGCATCCTTTGTCCAGACAGGGAAAAAGTGAGAAGACAAGACATCAGGAAAGGCAGGGCTGGTGAAGTTATGCGCAGTTACCGAGTACCGGATACAGGGTCTTCCTTTTAGAGAGGCTTCAGAGGGGGCGAGAGACTTGCCCAAAGTCACACAGTAGGTGGCAGAATGGGCACCCGTCTAGGGTTCTGCCCTCTGGAGAAGAGGAGCTTACCTTCCTCTTTGGCAGCCTCACTTCCTCAGTCTTGAGACTTGCCAGCGCAGCCGGCTGGAGGGCCCACCCGTAAAGGTAAGCGGTTAGCAAAATGGGGGAGCTTGAGGCAGGAGGAGAGAGGAGGTCTAGTGTTGCCAGATAAAAGGCAGGACATTCCGTTAAACTTAAATTTCACACAAACAAGGAATCGTTTTTAATATAAGTATATCCCATGCAATATTTGGGACATAGTTGTAATACTTAAAAAAAAAAGTCATTGTTTATCTGAAATTCAACTTTAATTGGCCGTCTCAGTTTTTTGTTTCTGTTGATTTGCTATACCTGGCATCTCCATTCAGAATGCCCAGCTCTGGTACAATTTAAAAGTGTGTTCTCTGGAGTCAGAGAGACTTGGGGCTCAATCCTTGCTCCTCTGTGGGTCAGCTCTGCCACTGTGGCCACGTCGGCTGGTGTCTTGGAGTGTTGCCTTCTCGTCTGTGGAACGGGATTGAAGTGGCAGGGAGACAGAAAAGCGGTACCATGTGAACAGGACACCCAGACCTGGAGACACGGCTCCCTGCAGTAGGGACAGCCTGCCTCCGTTTCTTGTCCGTACAGTGCGGTGGTGTTACCTTGGGCATTACCCAGAGGATTCAGTAGTTACGCGTGTCCAGTGCACAGCAGGTGCCAAGTTGTTGGTAACTGCTACAGCTGGAAGGAATCCTGGAATCCGGAACTTCCTGGACCCCCGAGTCCTCTGCCCCGCCACCCCCCTCTCACTTGGCTCTAACTTTCCAGGCAACCCACAGGCCAGGCGAGCGGCAGCAGCTTCCCGGAGGTGCTGGCAGCCCCCTCCTCTCCGGGCTCCCTGGGTCACCCCAGCCACACCTCCTGCAATTAGATTTGTAAGTGGGAACACGCTCTTGTCAGAGGCTTCTGATTGGCTCCAGGCAAAAACACAGTTTAGCGCTCAGTCAAGCTGCATTTTAGGGCCTCTGTCTCTCTCTCCCCGCGTTCCCCCCTTAATTGCAATCTGTTCAGTAATTTCCTTTTCCAACACTGCAGAGCACAGAGAAGCTTCGGCACCAGGAGCTGGGCGGGGAGGAGGGAAAGAGAGCCCAGGCTCCCCTCGGTGACTGTGCTGGACCAGCGCCATGTCGGGCTGTGTGTATGTGGTGTGCGTGTGTCCAGAACCCGCCGCACACATGGGCGCGTGCAGATATGGCAGCTCCCCAGGGTCAGTCAGCCCAGGGCGCACTGTTAAGGGGGCACCCACTTGTGGAAGGTAATTCACAGGTGTCATCTAACCCTTGCAACTCCACTAACTATAGGTATTCTCATGCACAGTCCGAGATATGCTCACAGAATTTGACTCACTTGCTCAAGATCACACAGGAAGAATGAGTCAGAGTCAGGATTCGAACCCAGGTCCACTTGACTGCTGGGCCCCAAGTTCATACAATGATACCCTTTTCCCTTTAGGCTTCTAAGCCCAGCAAAGGAGCTAAGGAATCTTCCTGCACAAAGGAACACGGAGAGGTTTCTGTTCCCAGAATGAATAGCAGTGTCCCGGGGACAAAGAGCCTTGGCTAAAAGAAATGAAATATTAATGACAGAACTGCAGCAAGCAAGCTGAGTCGAGAAGGGGCAGGATTCATAGGAGAACGTGCGTGGACACCTAGAGCTGAAAGCTAGAAGGTTGGGCCAGGACTGCCACTGAGCGAAGAAACTGCAGCTCCCGTGAGTCATTCGCTGGTTTGACCCTTTGACTGGCCCTGCAAGCCAGCCATTCCTACCCCTATCTCACCGGTTGAGGAAACCGAGGCTCCCAAAGGTTAAGTCACTTGCCTGGAATCACACAGCCAGGCGGCAGCGTGGCCAGGACTCCTGCCCACCTGAAAGCCCATTTTTCTCCAGGACAGCATCTTGACCAAACGCGGGGCCAGGAGAGGGGAGGCAGTGGGGGGAGGGGTGGAGGGGGCTACTTCTCTCTGTGTCACCCCCTCTTCAGGATCCACAAGACCTTCCCCAGCGTCCCCAGCGGTGACTGCTGCTCTGAAGGCCACCAGCAGAGGGGGCAGAAGGTCTGGGCTCCACCCACACAACAAAGGAAAGAGGCTGAATGGTTGTTGTTCTTTGGGTCCTGGCCTGGTACCGGTAGCCCCATCGGCCTTGGAGCCCATGGGGGCTCCTGGAGGGGAAGGAGAAAGGGCCACTGCAGACAGACGCACGAGGCCACTGTCCACCCGGTCTTTCTTTGCCTTGTTAATGGAATCTGTGTTTCTGAGACGGCACAGGCCTGTCTCCTAGGCCACTGCTGACCCATATGGGAGAGGGTGCCCCACACCAGGGTACCAGGCTTGGCACGAGCCGAGGATCCTTCAGCAGTGTGCCTTCGTGTTGTGTAGGGTCAAAGCTGCACAGCCACACTTGGTGACCCTGCCTGTTACCCCAACCGGACCCCCATCCTGGGTCTGGCACTCAACATGCGTCACCCCCAACACAATCCACACTCCCACGTGGATCACCTGCTCAGGGGAGCTGGAGCCTGGCAGGCAGTCGCTGCCAGGAGGTCGGAATCCCATGAGGTCATGCTGCCATGCCACGTCCATGCCCTTGGAATCTGTCTGGGGGCACAGATGGGATCCAAGGCTTTCAAGCCTGTACGGGCATCCCGGAAGCCACCAGATGACAAGACCGAAACACTTTTCCTGTCTGGATGCCGCAGACGGCTTTTGCAGAGAAGGGGATAAGGAGCTTTGGTTTGTAAGCAAAGCAAGCCATCTTGGGCGGGTGGGGATGTGATCTCGGCCAACTCTCCCTTCAATTCCCCCAGCTCCCACGGGGGTTCAGGCAACACTGTAGGCCCCTTTCCTACCCCGTGACCCCCAGATCCACCAGAGCAGTGAGTTGGAAGGAAGAAAAAGAGGGAGGAAGGGGCACTGAGGGGCTGGGATGCTGATCCAGGCAGGGGTGGGGGGAGGTGTCTGCACAGCTGCAAGCAGCCCCCTACCCCCCGTCTGTGAATGGGCACATCGCCCCCTCCCACCCGCCTGCCACGGCTCCTGAAACAGTTGGTCCTAATGAATGCAAAGCAGGCAGGGCAGCTGTGTGCATTATCCATATGCATGGGGAGGTGTATATTTATCCTCACATCCCACCCCGCCCTGCAGCTGCTGCCATCCCCTATACCAGGAGGGTGAGTGGGCATGAGCGCACAGGCTGCTCCCAGCCCTGGGCCTCCTCTCCTTCCAGCCCTCCCTTCCCAGCCCACGCCCACAGCCTTCACTTGACCCATTTTGGAGGCAGAAGTTGTGTGTGTGTTTGAAAGAGAAAGAGAGAGTGCACACTTCATTTCCCCAGTTGGTGCTTTTGATTTCCTCTGAAGCATCTTGATTGCGGACGTACAATGGCATCTTGCTGCCAGTGCTCCCTCAGCAGCTTCTGGCTCTGAGCCGCCTCCTCCCCAGAGCCGGAGTTTTCTGCTGACTCCAGGGCCCGAGGTGGCTGGCAGGGAAGGAGAACTGATCTGGGCTTCCATGCCTTGGCCTGAGCAGCAGGACCTGCCACATCCCTGCTGGTCCTTGCCCCCTGCCCCTTGTACCCCTGCACCCCTACCTCCCCCCTCACTTGGACCTGCTGCTGCCACCTAGCTGGCCACCTTGTCCCTCCTTCCTGCCCTTGCCTGGCCACATGCCCCCTTTGTTCTGAACGCAGTTCTTCCACTCAGATACCTTCAGAGGCCCTGCTGCTATTGGACACTCAAGGCCAAACTGTTTATCCCATCATTCAAGGCCCCTCTGATCTGACCCCAAACCTTTTTTATAGACCTGTCAATCATGGATTCTCACAAGCACCCTGAGCTTCAGGTGAGCTATCCTCACTGTTCCCCAGCCTCCCCCCGCCATTCTATTTCCCCACTTGTGCTCATAGCCACCTTCTCCCTGAGGTGTCTCCCTCTTCTTTTGTGCTTTTCTCGCCCCTTTGTCAGGCTGTGATTCAAGTCCTGTATCCTCAGGAAGATGGCCTGATACCCTCTAGCTCACTATGAAATGCCCAGAGCCCTGACAGGCTAGGCATTTGGCACTCATTCATTCCTTGATCATTTATTCATTCACTCATTCATTCATCAAATATCTCTTCGGAAAAGGCAAAACACTTACCATGTCTTGTGTCCTGGTCCGGTGCCCTCACGCCTTCCTGTCTGCATCACTCACTGCCTGCCCTTCATTCACCTTTTCCAGCCACACCCACCCTCTTGCTGTTCCTGAAACAAGCATCATCTGCCTCGGGCCACACCTGTGCCCTCTTCCTGGCACGC